TCGACACCATAATATACTTTGTACGTCTACATTTTTATTTTCTCTACGCGCGCTAATATCGTTGTAACTCGATGAAGTCGATGAAAATGCTAACATGGTAAATATTTTTAAAACTATACAACTCTACTCGTATAACATAAAATAATCTAAGGTAGTTTTCTTAAATATCGATTGATATTGATCTTACTCTTGAATAAGAGAACGAGAGAAAGATTTTTCTCGAAACATCTTTCCAAGCAAAAGGTCAAAAGTTCTATTATAGGCAATGTAAGCGCGCGCAAGCTTCTTCTCGCACGCCGCTGCGAACGATGAATACAAATAAGACCATCCCAACACTCTTGGGAAATCCGATATACAAAAGCATATCTGTTGTTTTTCGCAAACAGCATAATCTCGTTGTTACGTATGAATTAAATACAAAGGTATAATGTGTAAAGCAAAGGCGCTATTGCTTCGAAAGCTCTCGCGTATCGCAGCCAGCCTTGAGTCGATCTCAGCTGTCCGTTTGCTACTCGGCATCTCGCTATATATACCTATACAGCGGCTATCGATGTCTTTGCGGTTCACCGCGCGCTGCTGCTGCTCGTTGCTGCTCGCACCGACGCTCTGCGCCGCTCGTCCGACCGCGTGCAGGTTTGCTAATTAGAGGCGTCTAACCGGCCTCTTTGACGCGACCGAGCGCTAAAGCAAAGCACCAAAACGTCGACTCGCGAGACAAACGCGAGCCTAAACCGACGTCAGTGAAGCATCGAAGCAACGCGCGAGCTTCGATTGCTAAATGCCACAAGTGTCATCTGGACTCTGCCGAGAATTCGCGTGGGATAGTGCCAAATCAGCATCGAGATTTTGATATCGTTCCTTTTTTTTTCCAAACATTGCATTTTTCGAATCAAGCTCGCGCGTGGCGCTCTTGTTACGCGTCGTGTCGAGCGACTGTATCGTATTTCTGCGCACCTATTCGGATCGTAATGACGCATGTCTGCTCGTATATGCATACTTATTCGTTATTTCGATCGCGCGTCATTAGCGAATCACTTGTTTGGCTCGCCGCGATCTTTCAATAACGTAATTCGAAACTACAACGGCGCCGTCGCTGATTCAAGTTCTGCTCCGGCGTCCGTTTGCGATATCTTGGACATATTTGCAACTGAAACGCTAGAAAATTTATTCATTCATAAAATTCATCGGTAGCAGCGAGTGTAAGTGACGTTGTCGATAATGCACAACTCGAATCTCTAACTCATTCAACTTGTAACTGTGAATATCGTATCCACGCGAGTTTTCACTCAGGCGATAAATTTTGAATTATCACCTGTAATGATTTATGTATTTTACATATTTACTCGAATGAGAGAGTATTACGATTTGTTAAAGCTTTTTTATACATTTTTTGATACAATAAACATTCAATTTGAGTAACTGAGTTTAATAATTTTTTTACGAAGAATGACCCTTACCATCTGGTGCTCAAAGAGTCCGCGCGAAAATTCTCAATCGATCGAGTAGGCTTTACCGTTTATATCACAGACACGCACGTGTATTACCTGATAAAGGCTTTCATATCGCATACTAGAACGATTGTTCTTTTTTTTTGTTACGAATTCGATATCATTGTTTCGAGCTGGATTGCAATACGCATCACTGTTTATTCAGTCTACATACTTCTTGCAATTGGTGTATTTGCCCGCGGCGCAAAGTGAACTTTTCTCAGCATGGGCGCGCAAGTATCAAATCCATCATCTCAGTCGCTGTACGAGACAAACGCACACACCATAAATCGGCCTCGCCATATCATTTGTCTTGTTTTCATCGGAATCGCTTTTCATTTTGAAATTAACGTCACTGCTCATTTGTCAAATATTGTTAGTCAAGCAATTCATAAAGTTTCTTCCGTGTTTTGAGTAAAATTCCAAAGAAAAAGGAATATTTTCATTGGGGAAAAATGTGGGTAACCTGACGTAAACGTTTGTTTAAATGTACAAATTATCGTGTGCTCACTCTGGGTGACTGATAATACTTTTTGGCCATGAATTTTTCTCGCAAAAAAGTTAGTAGTGAGTGAACATTTTATAAAAAATGTTGAACAAATAAATTGTGTGATTTTTTGATAAATTAAAGGTGTTTATGCAATACAAACAAAAAGACTAAATCAGATAAAGATAAATCGCGCAGGAAAAAAATGCGTCTATTTCGAGACGCAACATACAGGAATTTCTATTTTTGTTTCGCTCGGTGTGATAGAAAAGCTTGGAAAAGGGTAGTGCGCTCATTTAAATTTTGTCAATCGTTTCATTTCATTCCACCTATCGAAGAACAATTGATCGAAAAGAAAAAGAAATTTTGATAATTTTAATTTCGAGAACAATTACAATTAACAAGTGACGTAGGTGGCTAAAATTAATCGATCAGCTCATCGACGCTTTTCGCTGCGATCATTACTCTCTACGACGCTATCCGCTCTCGCGATCATCGATAATCATGAACTTCATCAAGAGGCGCATTAAGATTCAAGCTCGCTCGGGTCTCGACTCGAATGCGCGGGTAAATTCGCGCTTTCGATCGATACAAGAGAGAGAGAGAGAGCAGACCCGGGAGCGGGTCGGAGATAATCGATCCGCTCCGGGGATGGATTGTCGCAGCTCGCATGCATCGTACTTGGGGGTGCGCGAACTCGCGGTGGCTTGAGAGCTTTTAAAGGAGGATAGCGAGCATGCGCCGCGTTTATTAAGAGGTAAATAAAGAATCTGCCTCGCACGCGTTATGTATACATGCTCCGCTGTATCGCAGATCATCGACGATCGACGAGAGGTCAAGGCTTCTGGGCGACGAGCTACCGCCGCCGCGTGCATCGGCCATCGGCGGCAGAGAAAAATACTATGGCAGCTGTCCCCGTTGCTCCATCAGGTAATTCATGTTCTCGTATACGTATACGTAATAGCCCCCGCGGAGCAGTATGGAAATGCCTTATCAAAGGCAATTTTCTCGCGCACGACTGCACCGGCTAGCCCGCGCGTTATTTTATATGTAGCATGTACACCTTCTGGATGTACGCGTTGTATAACTGGCCGTATTCGACATTCGCGACGATCGACGCCGATCCATTGCAGTGCCTCCGCGAGGCAACGAGTCGGAACGAGCGATAGCGTCATTGACGCACGATTTTTTCAAAGAACGATAAGCGTTACGACGAATTGCACTCTCGTTAATGTCGACACACGTGTGTAGTGACGCGTGTCCACTCGACGATTTTCCCTGTTTCGCGAGGGTGCCGCAGCTTTCCAACCCTGAACAAGCGAACCTTATAGCTTTGTTCATTATATCTTTTTCCATTGAGTCATTTCATCGGCAAATCCTTTGTTGAGTCTCCTCGTCTCCTCCCTTCTTTTCACCTGCTTGATTCATCGATCTTCAATTCCACTTTGTGTTTGCAAACGTTACGTTTGGCCAATCGCGTGTACGCGTTAATTCGTTCTTACGCAATACACGTGTAATTAATTATAATGATAGCGCAATCATTTGCGTCGCCGCAGAAATAAATCAATATGTTAATCGTCATAGTTATTACTTGGTGCATGATTTGCCGATACTAATAGCAATAGCTTTGCGTTTACGCTTGATTTTCATGAAAACAATAAATAATAGCAAGCAATAACTTGCTCGATTTCCAATATTTTGCTGCTTTTAAGCGACCGCTACATTCACCCATCGGTCTTGTCGAGTCGCAATTTGAAATTCGATAAAATTTTCAGCGCTCGTACGATTTCATCTCCTGCGTTTTGGTATTGAACTTGCACGCGGCGCTCGTCGGAGATTCGCGCGGAACTTTCCAGTCTACGTACGCTTATATATCGATCTATGATGCAGCCGCGTGCGTTTCGCCTATAAAAAAAAATTATACCAGAACAAACACGAGCGAGCGAGCGCCGCGCGGCATCGGCGTCGGCGGCGGCAGCAGCGACCGATCTTTATCTCGCCGCAAAAACACGTCGATCAAACTAAATTCAATGTTCTGCCTGCTCACCTACTTCTATTTTTCCAGACGTCGAAAAATTCCATGTTTTAGCCAACGATTGCCATGTTTTGACAACAGTTTCTGATCGCGTGTTTGTTTACACTGTTAGTTTTGGAAAAAATTGAGTTCAATAGACAGCAAGCGTCAAAACATTTTCACGATTCAGTTGTTCGGTGACGAAATCACTGGGCCAAGTAATCTTGACAATGCAACCTTCGATTAATCGACTTCAAGGTTCATCCAATCACTGAACAAACTTATATGGAGAATTGAGCACAGGTACAGTGATTGGTCGGTGAAACGTTGAAGCTCGACGCGGAAAATGTTTCGCGGTCTCTTGCGCATGCAAAAAATAATTAAATCAACGTCGAGTCCAGGAAGCTTCGATCGAGCAAATTTGTGATGGAATTAAAATTTACCTTCAGCGGAGTCGATTGGAGGCTTCGAAAGGTTCGCCGGTAGCGGGTTGACAATGAGCGACGTCGTTCGTTTAAACACAATTTTTTATCGAGTTTATACATCTGCCTATATATACAAGTGGCGCCTATTAGTATACACAACGAAGCCGATAAAAGCTGCGACATGTGTAAAGTCGTGTTAGATTGATAACCAAATTAAAAGTCGATGCGCGATCGATAGCAGCTGAGAAATTTTGCAGGAGAATTCGTCGGGTGCAGTCACGTTCGAACTTTGTCGATTGACATGGGGGGTAGTTCGCAATGGAACCTTCGAAAGGATACGACGAAAAGCGGCGCAGAGAAACGCGGAAAAAATCGTAGCCAGCGACGGTATACAAGATGCCGAAAAGAAGGCAAGTTTGCGGGCAAAATTGGCAAAGACGATCGATACACGATACGCGAGTTTTATTAAGGTGCCGTTATCAATTATCGAGTATACACGATAGAACCGAGGTGGTGGCGGCAGTGCAGATGACTATAGCACGGCACACGGCTCGTTTCTCTCTTTCTCTCTCTTTCTCTTTCTCTCCGTCTTTTTCTCTCTGTCTGCGGCGTACATGTGCTTGTTTGCGACACACGCCTGTGTGCGTGTAGGTATATAGACTGACATATCCGTGAGAAAGAGAGGCGCGATATAATATAATTGATAACACGGCCTGCTGGCTGATGTGCCGGCGCAGTTCAGTCGTAAAATGATACAAGTTCAGGTGGAGCAGCATCAGGTACGGCCGCAAGAGCAGCTCGAGAACTTTGCCACCGGAAGCAACAATAGCAGCAACAGCAGCACCAGCAGAATCAGTAACAACAGCAAGCATGAGACAGACGAGTACGTGTGCAATAAGCATCGCTAATTTCTTTCGATACCCCCCACATCTCTCCCCGAGCATCCATCGAGCTTTTTTTCCTCGTTTTTCGAAAAACTTTTTCAAAAAGGCCGCTACTGAAAACATCGACGATCACGAAACGCGTCGCTCTCGTGAACTTTCGACCAGTAGTAGGGTAGGGGAGCTGATTTTCCTCGTGCGCTAAAATTTTGTGTTGTGTCGGCGTTTAGCGCGAGTACGTAGACATCCGCGCGCGCGCGCGCGCGAGTGACGTCGGCAACGAGACGACGTGCCTGCACTCACTCGGGTCTATTTCCGTCCGAGCTCGAGTGACCGACGATACGTAGCAGCGCGTGAAACGAGCTTGTGAAAGCAATTAGCCGCTTTTTGCTGTAGCTGCACGCGCGGCAATTATCATCTTTTTTTTGAAAGTCCAGCACAATCTGGCTGGGCCAAGCCGCTACCGACTTCCTCGATCAAGCACGTGCACAGCTGACGCTTATGACCGAACGAGCTTTTACGCGCACGAATCGCTGTAAAACGTGCGGATCGATCGGAGCCGATTGCGCATATCCTGTGGACACCCGCGTCCTACGCTCGTGTCCCAGTGAAGTTGTGTAACGTACATATAGATATAGGTGCGGAATATAGCTGCGACTCGTAATTCATTTTCTCAGCCTAGCTGACATTGCTGATAATGGGAGATGATATTCAATGCCTACTCAAACAGCCACGCAGTTTACACACAGAAACTTATTGGGCGGCTCTCTGGCGTACTCCAAAAAACACCCGCGGCTCGAGTCTGACTTTGAATCGCACAAGTGTATACACACATTATACCCACGTCGTATATTTATCGCGATAATGACGATAAATACAAGTGCGATCAAAATTTACAATACGCGCAGCAACCGTTTTTTCTTCTAAGGTATAACACGACACTTGTAAGGCCAAAGCCCGCGATTCGCGCACCCGATTCGAGTCTACCTCGGCTGCTCGGCATTCTTGCGATGTCTCGCGTTATGTTTGCGTTTGTTTACGTGCAAACGTCAAAAGTGCACATTCGTGGAATCGCGATTGGTTCCCACCGAGTTTACTTTTTAGCGATTCAAAACAAAAAAAAACTGGTGCGGTGATCCGCGCTCTCGAGCCGTACGTGTGTGACGCTCGTTGAAGGTAGCGATCGGCAAGAGATAAGATAGATCGATCGAACGTTTCTGGTTTTCTAGACAGGCATTGCCTCTCGTATTTTCGTAACTCAAGAGAAGTGCGCCTTATTAATTTGGATGAATCTTTGTTTGTTATTAATAACGTAAGAAGACGCGATAAAAATGGCAGCTCATTTTTTTACCCGAGTAATCGGAAGATCGAGCAGATCTCAATTTTTCATAAAAAAATTGATATAGCCTAGGAGCATATATTTTTTAACGATATACTTGGAACGAGGATGCCAATAACGAAAGCCTTCGATGGTATACTCCTCTTACACGAGTGAAATGAAATCGTTGAATGGGTAGAATGCAATATCGAGGATAATCAATGATTTTGTTGCAGTGAGCAATGTAAGGAGGCCCTACTGGTGGCGGCAGCAGCAGCAGCAGCAGCAGCAACAGCAGCGTCAACAACAACAGAAGAAAGAAAAGGAGCTGCAACATCCCGTCGGTCGTGCTCCTCGTCGTCGCTGCCGCTCGCAGCAGGAGAGCCTAGCACAACCACCGATTCAGCGGGCGAGATGTCGTCGCCACCGGGAGTCGGGGCGAGCCTCCTGCGGGAGCATCCGCAGATCGCTCGGATGACACCGACCGGCGGCAGGTCGCGCACCTGCTCCGAGTCCAACGTCGGCGCGCACGTCTCGCTGGCCCTGGCCAACTCGGGCCTCCTCGGCTGTCCCGGCTGCTCGAGCAGCGCCGCGGCCCTGCACCACCTCGGCAAGCTGCAGTTCGACACGGCCTCGGGCGAGGACTCGGCCAGCCTCCTCGAGGAGGGCGGACTCGCTCGGCTGCCGGACCTCGTCGCCGAGAGCAAGATCTACGACGAGTCCCAGGAGCCCCGCGAGTCCTATCTCGCCATCACGCTGCAGGTCTCGATACCGTTCTTCATCGCCGGTCTCGGTATGGTCGGCGCCGGCCTCGTTCTCGACGCCGTTCAGTACTGGAACGTTTTTCTACAAGTCAAGGAGCTGATGATACTGGTGCCCGCTCTGCTGGGCTTGAAGGGCAATCTGGAAATGACGCTGGCGTCGAGGCTCTCGACTCAGGCCAATCTCGGTCACATGGACACGCCGAAGCAGCAATGGTACATGATCGTCGGCAATCTCGTCTTGATTCAGGTGAGATCGATTCGCTTTTAATGAGATTCGTGCGGTTCGTGTAGCTAATCGACGGAGCCGCAAAAAGTGCGATACGCGGAAGTCATCGCGATACGGCGCCGTCGATTCGCATAAATCATCGCGCAGCCTCAGTCGATGTTTGCAGTGCAAGTAAGCCAATGCATATTTGCACGCGAATCGCGTTCTCATCTCCCAAAAGGTCTAAACGGCCAAGTTGGCTCTCGTTTGAATTACGAGTCTTATTTGCGCTGTCGGATAAAAATAGAACCGCGCCGAAAGAAAAAATGCTCGTATAAATTTATCACACGATCCATAGAGAAAAGCTCAAGAAATGTGCGTACGTAATTGCAGTGTCAGGCGATCGTGGTGGGCTTCCTGGGCTCGATCGTGGCCATGGTGATGGGCGCGCTGCGTAACGGCACGGTCTCGCTGGACCACGCATATCTGCTGTGCGCCTCGAGCCTCGTGACGGCCTCGCTGGCCTCGTTCGTGCTGGGCCTCATCACGGCCGGGGTCATCGTGTTCTCGCGCCACTGCCACATCAATCCTGACAACGTGGCGACCCCCATAGCCGCCAGCCTCGGCGACATCACCTCGCTGGCCCTGCTCTCCTGGATCTCGACCATCCTCTACGAGGCCATCGACAAGCAGGACTGGCTGGCGCCCCTCATAATCGCCTGCTACGTCCTCGTCACGCCGCTCTGGGTCTGGATCGCCAAGAAGAACAAGTACACCAACAACGTCCTCTACTCCGGCTGGACGCCCGTCATCGTCGCCATGCTCATCAGCAGGTAATTAGGCCACCTCTGGCTCGCTTCGACTTTGTCAAGAGATTTCGTTACTTAATTATTATGAACTCGCTGCTCTAGTCTTGGCGGACTGATCCTCGAACTGATGGTGTCGCGCTCGGGAAAAATCACGGCCTTCCAGCCTGTAATCAACGGCGTCGGCGGAAACCTCGTGGCCGTGCAAGCCAGCCGGATATCGACGGCGCTGCACAAGCAGGCTGATCTGGGCACTCTGCTCATTCCACCTGGACACACTCACCCGGTTATCTTCATCACTCCCATCGCCAGTTTCTTCGGCAAAGGTCAGTCGATCGATCGAGTGAGAGTTAATTTTATAACACGGTATAAGCTGACTTTGATTGTTCGTTATATAGGTATGCACGCGCGAACGACCCGCGTGCTCATGGCCATGGTCATTCCGGGCCACGTAGCCTTCCTCTACCTGCTCAAGTACCTGAAGGAGGGCGAGGTCTCCATGAGTATGCTCTTCGTGTTCGTCTACCTGTGCGCGGCGACCCTGCAAGTGGCGGCGCTCCTCTACATCGCCTACATCATGATCCACTGGATGTGGAAGCGGCGCATCGACCCGGACAACTCGGCGATACCCTACCTCACGGCCATGGGCGATCTGCTGGGCATCAGTCTGCTCGCCATCGCCTTCCAGTTTCTCTATCTCGTGGGCGACCAGACCGAGTCCGAGGCGGCGGTACTGCCGGCCCAGGCCTCCCTCGTGCCGGGCTCGTGAATCGGCTTCCAGCTCGATCGAGCCCTGGCCTACTTACGCGGCTGATGCACCCGAGCCACATCGACTCTGCGCCGATAGCCACCCCATCGTCCCCATCGTGCTTCTTCGCGACTATTGACATTTTTCCCCCATTTCTTTGACTTTGACTTTTCTTTCGCTCGCGATTGTCAACGGTACTAGATCGATCCGCGTCTCTCGGTAAATGGATCGCACCTGCTTAGAGTCGCGGACGACTTGGTTGTCTCTGACACTTGAGAGTTGAATAAGCCTTCGAGTACTTTTCTACTTGTAGTTCGTATAGTGAGTAAAATACGTTTCGAGTCGCTGATGTCAGCCTCGTCGTTCGCTCTTTTTTCCTGGCTAATATCACACCAAGCTCGTACGTATTTTTTTTATAAAATGTTTTATTACGTTTACGTGTACTGGCCGTGTGGTGATTCGCATTTACCTTATTTCTCATCGAAATCAAAACTTAACGCAACGAGGATCTAAGTTGGCATTTTGTACACGAGACTTGCCTTTCACCCCCCTGTGGCCGCTTTCATGATTTCTCTTTCGAATCGTGATTATATTTTAATATTCGCACTGTACTCAACGATAGGTAGTGACATCATTTTTAATTTGAAGCAGCTATGCTTTCTTTACCATCCCTTGTGAAAATTTTAACGATAATAAAAATTATGCAAGTGCTGAATGCCATGCAGTCGAGCTTGCACAAGCTGACCGAGCCATGTGTAGCAAAATTGAGAATTTTGAAGAACTTTCATCGACAAGTCGGTGCAAAAAACTAGTAAATTCGTGGCCTTAGAACTCCCGTATCTAGTATCGCAACGTAGTTATGATTTGAACCACGCAATAGCTTGTTAGACAAGTAAGTTTTGCGATATAGTACAAATTTCATCGAGCCGGGCCGTTATTTCACTTTTTACTTAAGTCTCGAAATTTTGTTCTTTTTATTTATGACAAATTCATAAACTTGTATGAGCAGTAGTGCATATTAAGTTGTATTCCTGATTATGATGATTGGCTTGAATTAACGTACTAATTATAAATTCAAGCATTCTACAAATTATATTAACACTGGGTGCAAAATGTTATTGTACCCGAAATAATGCAATTTGAGAAGTTGCACTCATGTGCCAACAAATAATTGCAATAGAGCATAATATGATTTTTTCATTTGCAAGGTTCGGGAAAAGTTTTAACTATCGAGTTTTAAATATAAACGTGAATGTGTGCCAAAGAGTTCACTCAGTTGAGACTAAAACAGTATCCTCAACGAAAACACAAACTTTCATCGTCAATTAATCAACCTTAAGTTTTGAATAATTGTTTGAGTGATAAAACCACTTGTAGAACATTAAACTTCAAGGTGTTGCTACGAACGTCCGTTGTAAATATCATTATATATAAGAAAAACTAGGATGAGAAAAAACATCCGAAATAATTTAAAACAAACTAACATTAGTGTAATTGGAAGTAAATACTACGATCTTTGTAAAAAATGTTATTTCACGTAAAAAGATTATTCAAATGCGCGCTAAAAAATTCGTTCTTAAAGTTACTAATTGCCTAAAAAATTATTTTCTCTGCGTGTTAAATATCACGTTTTAACGAGATTCTGTAAATATGAGTAAAGTAATAAAACTAGAATGATGAAAACAATTATTTTTGTAAATGATATTTTATAATCCATGAATTGACAGGCATATATTTTTCATGTAGAAAAAAACCTGTTGATCTCCGTTAATGTTTATAAGTAAGTTTTTGATGAATTGATTAAACCAATTAACTTTTGTAATTATTCTAAGCCACAATTGTATTATATTTGTGGCCATGAACCATTGCGTATACGTTCTGTAGAGATACGAGTAGTCAAAGTATATTGTTACAAAATTTTTGTTAGCACGATTTACAAAATGATTTATAAATGTATAACGATCAGAAAAATGTTGTATTCATTCCAATAATGCTCGTATTTATTACGAGCACTTTTTTCTTGCGTGCATCGCATTATCTTGGACAATAAAGAATGAGATTAATTTTTCTATGATAGTTAAATGGAGTTCTAAAATCAAGACTATTTTGTAAAAGCAGATTTAAAACTTGACGTCGAATCTCTTGAGATATTTATAAAAAAAAATCCATACAATAAATCAACACATTCCACCACATGTTTTTATCAAAATCAGTAGGCTATTTTTTTTTGTTTTTATCAAGTAAAAAAATATTAAATTATTGGAAAAATAATATTTTTAATTTTATTTAGTATAAATACTTGAATGTACAAAAATCTAAATATTTTACGATAATTAAAAAATAACTAGTCGATGTATTATTGAGAATTTAAGTTACCACATTGTGAAGATTGATTTACCAAAAGAATAAATGAATGTGTGCATAATTCAAATTGAATTATTCCGATAACAAAGTATTGTAATGTCATGATCTACTTGGTACACTTTTTATATTCATGCGCGAAATTAAGATAAACTCAAAAGGCACGCTTGGGCACTTTTTCAGATTCTTCAATTAAAATAAAAATATATTTAACAAAAATTAGGATCAGTCATTTCCTTATCACTCGCACTTGTACATTTTAACTCATAGATTATGAGCTTGAATAATTCTATGTTTAAAAAGACCTTGGAAGAGCACAATAAAATAATCCGATTCAATGATACCTAGCTTCTATAGTGATGTAGAAGTACTTATAATACACTATTATACAGAGTAAATTTAACATTTGGCAGTAAATTAGTAAGTCGACTTTTCGCGCAGTAAAAATATTTTACTGCAGTTTGGCCTCCTCTTTCACTTTCCATACAATTAATTCCATACAAGCAACAGCGTCTTCCTTACTATCGTGACCAGCAACTGGAATTCAAAGTAATGTATTTATAAAATATCGCTCTTTCTTGCAGCTTATTTATTGCATCCATCTAAGTCAATACTCACCGTCATTTTGTATAATTTTTCGGAGATAATCTGAACATAAATTTTTCAAAGCTCTTTTGAAAGGTGGACCATTTTTATGTGGAAACATAATGCTAGTATCGACAACTGTATCATGTAAAAGTTTCATCACTTTAAAATCACTTTCTAAACTATGACCCACGAGTATAGTTTTAGATGAAAACATTGAAAGAAGTGTTGCTTGAACATCTAACAATGTAGTTGTCACATTTTCCATGTGTTCCTCGGTAATACCAGAAAACCTGAGTATAATACAGACATTTTCAATATATACCTGACAATCTTTTTATTAATTCATATTTTTTAACAAACCTTGTATTATAATCAATAATTGGATTTGTTGGCTTTACTAAAGTTTCATAAATGACTTCGCAATCATCATTAATTACAGTAACGCGTGCAAGTTCCAAACCTTGAGTAGTGTAACACATTTCACAGTCAAGAGCGTAAACGCCTTGCTTTTCAGGGGCAGAATCATCTAGAAAATAAAAAAATTTTTAGGATATCTTTCATGCTCGAGTCAAAAATGTTTCCAGAATTTTACCTTTATCTAATGTTTTTACAAAACCCCTTAAATTTTCGAGATCTAGCAAATCCCAAACATGTGTTGGAGCATCACAACAGCCATCTGATGAACCATCTTGTTTACAACACATGTATTTACTTTCTCCTCTAAATGTGAATTTTCTAGCATAATGATATATACAATTTTCCTTTTTTATGGGTATGCCATGCTTATCAACCATAAATGGTTTATTACAACGGCAGCAGAATCGCTGGTTAGGCACTTTGGATGGATTTGATTGACCTCTTGTACTGTATGAATATAGTTTTGCTCGACCCTAAATAATTCAAATTAAATTTTTAAAATTATTATTCAAATAAATTATAAGAGCGACCAAGCTCACCTTTGGTCCTTCAGGATGTGGCCTTGGAAAACCATTGTCTTTGAGTTGCTGATCAGTCAGTATCCACTTTGAAAGCTTATTATATAGTGTTTCACCTTTGAAATTTACAATGAATTTCTTTGGTTTAACAACACTAAAACTACCCTTAACTTTTCCCAACAGGATGGCTTCATGTGAAACCATACCTGCACCAGCAGATGTTGTTGGCTCTGCACTTTTCTGATCAACTTCTTTACGCAGTCTATGTACAGTCAACATGCATGAGTTTTTATACACATTTAGTGCTTTGCACTTTTCGTAGCAAGTTAATTCTTCGCGAGTAGCTCTTTGGGCAGCATCGTCATGACAGTCATAAATTTGCACACAAATATCTTGCATAGCGTTTACATAAAACTGACGCACGTTTAACGGAAACTTTGCTGTTCCTGATGGTTGTATAGGTTCCGGTCGAGTTAATTGCGGTACCTAGAAAAGTAATTTGTATCAAAGACGTAATTATTCAAATGTTTAAATTCAATCTATCAAACGATTAATTTACCACTTGAGGCACATGGGCAACACGAGCACCTTTTCCTTTTTGAGTTTGTGCAATGGTCTTGGTTTCCACTTTAGTTACTTGTTGCATGACTTTTTTCTTTTCCAGAGCCAATAACATAGCATAAGGAACCCCAGCTATTCGAACTCGATCTGTACAATACAATAAAATGATTAATTTTTATGGAAAAATCTCAAGAACATATTTTTTATGAACAAAATGTGATTATTTACTATTTCCATTAACTGTTGACTCCTTATGAGAAGTTGAACCAGGATTGGAAGTTTTTTCATTGGCCATTTTCATGGAAACTTTATCAGTGTGGGCTTCTTTTTCTTCAGATTTTTTGGCTGCAATTTCTTTCGATAATCGCCATCTTTCATACATTTTTTGCTGAGGATTAGGAAGGCGTTTTTGAACTTGAGTTGGTCCAACTGATTTTATTATATTTGTAGAAGCAGATGCATGAGCAATGCGTTTTTTCCCAATTTCTTCTGGTTCTTCCACATTTGGTTTAGATTCAGTCTTAACTTCTTTTGGTTGTTCGATGACCTCATATTCCTGATGAAAGAGAAACTTAAATTTTTGTTTTTGTAATACCATATACATAATTGAATAAGTTATTTTACCTGAAATATTTTTCTACATTCTTCTTCCACATCATACTCAGAATCAGATTCATCAAAAAGTGAGTTATCATTGATAGGTGAAAACTCTTCATACTCAGGGCTATCACATTTATTAATATCACTTGACTTTTCTGCGCTTATATTTTTTAAATCATCAGTTGCTTTGTCAGACTTATGGCTATGAGAACTTTTGTTACTAGAACTTCTGTGAGAGCTACTTTTACTTTTATGTTCTGTTGAACTGGATTTGCTTCGACTTTTATCTTTTTCTTCTGTTCTGTGATTAGATTTATCCTTACATTCTCTCTTATCTCTAGAATCTTTTGAACTTGAACGTTTATCTTTTTCAGATTTGCTCCTTCTTCTACTACTCGTAGAACTCGACTCTTTACTTCGACTATCTTTGTCTCTTTTTCTGTCTCTTGAAGATGATGATGAACGATCTTTTTCATTACTTCTAGAAATATGTTTGTGTTTATCTTTTTCCCTACTTTTTTTATCATCTTTATCTTTAATTTTTTCTTTATTTTTTTTCTCTTCGTGTTCTTTATCCGTTCTTCTTTCTTTTTCCTTATTTTTGTCTTTATCTTTAGCTTTTGAATACCTTGAATCAACTTCTTTATTTTTTTGATGCTCAATATCTTCTTTTTGGTTTAATGTATTCCTAATATCAATTTCTTTCGTTTTTTGAGCATCTTTTTCCAATTTGATGGATTCATTAATAATCTTACCAAGTTTTGGATCAACGTTTGGAATATCTTCCAAAACCATCAATGGATCATTTTTTTCAGTTTTTATGGATTCTTTTCTAAATCTCAGTACATCTGAATTATTATCATTCAAATTTTCAACAATGTGATCCACCTTTTCTGTTTTAACAATCGTTTTTTCTACCACTTCATCTTCAAAAACTTTACTGAGTAATAGATCTAAATTAGAATGATCATTACAATCTTCATCATCTGATACAGTAATAACTTCTTCATCCAAAGGCTTTTCAATTGTTGTCAGTGGGATTTCCATAATATCATCAGATTTATCTTGTGCAGAACTTATATTGAGTTCTGGGTTGTATGTAATTTTCTCAAGATCCTCATAAGATTCATCATTAAAATGTATGTTTAATGGTACTTTTGGTTTTCTTGGTACATATTCTTCTCTTCGTTTTTTTGGTTTAGGATAATATGCGTCATCCTTTCTCTTGATTTTTTCTGGTACATATGCATCATCATTAATGCTAGTAGTTTCACATGCATCTAAGTAGGAATCATATTTTGTAGATGGAATATATTCAAGAGTTGAATTTTTATTAATTGGCTTAGATGGGTTTATTGCTGTTGGTATATAAGACGGTGCAGATTCTTTTGCTGTACCAACATTTCGAATTATATCCATCCATGGTTTTTCATTACCAGAAACCTTTCTTTTAACAGCTTTGCTTTCACGAGTAAGTTCATAAGCTGGGACGGGTAAGTGTCGCTTTTTTAATTCAGCAATCGGCGTTGGAGTATACTGCAGTGGAGGAGATACTTTTGAATGTTTACTGCTGGATACAATTGAAGAAGTATCATTATTACTTATAGATGTTGTAAGTACATTTGATACTAGTTTTTTATTAAGACCCTCTACAACTTTATTGGCAATACTATCAGCATCTGTAAGATTTTCATCAGCTAGTGCTTTTTTTACAGCTTCACTGATTTTCTGAAGTACTTCAGAATTGGCAGAATTCAATGGACTAGCTTCATTCTTCTCAACTTGTTGAGCTTTTGATATTGATTCAGAAACAATAGCTGTAGATGTGGTAGCTCCATCTTTAAAATCAAATAAGAATATATTTAAAAATAATTTCATGCAACATGATAAACAATGTTAACTTCATTTGCAAAATTTCTTTCTAAATATCCGAAAAAATAATTTAAATCGTAAAAATATACGGAAATTCAACGTCAATTTCTTTTCGTATTTCTAGTATGTAACAAAATAATTGCGAGAAAATGTACGAGAAAAACAATTTACCTTTTCGTGTATGTCTAAAGTGACAGTAAGGCCGCTCACAATAGCCGTTTTCATAAAACGGACAATTGATGCCTTTAAAATAACCTGTTGATGGAAGCATTACTAATTGCTCATTGCATCATTTTAGCAGTAATGACATTTCTCTTCTTCCTTATCTCGCGAAATCAATAACATCAACAAACTTCTACCGTGACCAAAATTTGCGTAGAAGGGTTGTAATGACAAATCATGAGTCACTTACAGAGTCCTTTGAGCAAATAAACAATTCCGATCAAACATTGCAGTACATTACGCAGATTTGTACAGCAAAATGCTCATTTGAATGTAGTTATTTATAAACTTCGTATTAACTATGTATACACTCAACTAAGGTGTATGTAAATTGAACTTTTGAGACAGTTGAGGTTAAATTTATTTGACAACACTAGCGGTTTTATTTTAACTAAAACGTTAAGTAAATCATTAATAAAAAGATTCACATGTTATGGCAATAATTAATAAAAACCGCTTTAGATCTTAATTATGTCTGCAGAGTTATTGCCGTTTTACGCTACAAGAACTTGCGAACGCATTGACCCCGCTACTCCAAAATTACCGAGTTCATTCTTAAAAGGAAACGATACGTCCATCATTGTAAACCAAATGTATATGTGCGTAGATCGTACTACCTACACCCACTTTAAATAGCGCACGTGCACTCCCAAGCATATCTCGTTTTATTCTTTCTTTTTTCCAACATTTATTGACTGCCCGATCACGTTACCCAAAAGATTTGCAAGGCACCGCCAAATTTCGAATGAAATTTTTGAATACGGTGATTTTTTCAGAGATAATTTCAAAATCGTATTGTCATAGAAATACGACTTGATAATGCACACAAAATAATAATAAAAACTCTTTATTGAATACGCAACTTTAAAAGTTAATTGATTAATTATAAATTAAAAAAAAACTTTCATTTCTATAAACTTAATTACAAAATGAAAGGAAAATCATTATTAAAACTCGATTTGTTCGTGTAATAATCACTAATTTTATTTGGTAAAAATCACAAAAAAATCAAGATTAATTGTTTTTAATCTTGTAAATTTAAACTATGATAAATAAAACTACAGTCAGGCAATATCAAATTTACACAACATTATTAAATTCAATTCTGTACAAAGTAATGTAAAAAATACTTGAGATAAAATTTCAAGGGTAGGTACCAAAGCCAAATTACTTTTAACATTTTGAAACGTATTTTCCGAGATTTTGTTTTATATTTTTGTAAAAACCTACGTAAATGTCTAAAAAAACAACAAAGTTAAGACCTGCACATAGCTTTTTAAGAAATATTTAGTGAAAATCTCAAAAACTAAATTTGAAAATAATCATATGGGTCTGGCCTTGGTATCTCCTTAAAAATAGTTCTTCGGAATTATTATTTTTTAAATTATCATTCCTTTTTTACAGATTCTACTTTTACTGCATGAATAGCATAATTTATAGCTGTTGACGATGTCCATGACCACTCATGTGTAACTGGATTATATAGCATTCCATGTACTAATTTTGTTTTGCAATGATCTGTAAACAATTTAATTTTTATTACATGCTACATATTTTGTGAAGAAATAATGATACTAATATAATACTTTTTTCTAATAACTGCTTTGTTTCCTCAGGAGTAATAAACTTATTCCAATCATGTGTTCCTACAGGTAAAAGTCTTAAGATGTATTCAGCTCCAACAATTCCTCCAAGCCAAGATATCATATTTTTATTTAAAGTTGTAATAAAAATAGAGCCTTGTGGTTTTAATACTTTTGAACAACTCTAAAACATGACACAAAAATAATAATAAATCAAATATAACATTCAAAAAAATATCAAAAATGGCACAATCCAACATGATAATAATTATAGCACAATTTCTTACCCTTAAAAATAAATCTTTGTCGATTACGTGTTCAAGAATTTCTGATGCAACTATCGCATCAAATACTTCTTCTTTATCTTCAGAAAAATCTTCAATTGATGAATGTACATAGGTCAAATTTGATGATAGATCCTTATCCAAGCTTGCATGTTCTTGTGCAATGGATATCAATTCTTTTGAAGCATCTAACCCAGTAACATTAGCACCAATTCTAGCAAGAGGCTCAGATAGAATACCACCACCACAACCAACATCCAAAAGTTTAATGCCTTCCAAAGGGTGGCTGAAATTAGTTTCTTTGAACCCGTTATTTATCAATCCATCTTTGACAAATTTAACTCTCAGAGAATTCATCTTATGAAGAGCTCCCATTTCTCCATTAGGATCCCACCAGTTGTCGCTATGTTTAGAATGGTTTAAAACATCTTGAAAATCAACAGTTGAATTTGATCTTGTTTCATGTTGATTCCTCATCAGTGCAGTATTACTATACTTCTGACTGAAACATAAATTTTAAACAATTTTTAATCTACAATGTTAATGTTAATAAAGAAATATAATAATCCACAGTTTTTCAGATACATGAGATTTAAGGTTATAAGTTAAATTTACCTAAATCCAAGACATGATTTCGCTGTTTGATTCAATAATGAATGACTTCTCAAGGCCTTCATGGTGAATATGAAAAATAATTTGGTAAAACCCTTGTTTTTATTTTAAAACCTTTTGAATTCGAGACTGTGGTTACTTTTAAGCCAACGCAACTTAAACTGTGCAATACTGCATCATACACTGAAATTTGCAGACTATGTTTATACCGAAATGACACACTCGTAGTTACAGAGACATAGGTATGATTTCTTTCATTAATTTAAAAATTTTTCCGATTAGTATGAATGCGGCCTATAATCTTAAAAGCTACACATTTCAAAAAATTTTGATTGGACACATAAATTATAATTGCATAATTAGGTATTGTAATTGCACATCTATGAGTTAGTACTTTTGATCGTATATATATTTTTCGCCAAAAATTGTACCTCAAATGAGACTTTTTAAAAGAAATTTTTTAAAATAATCATAATTATATAACTACAGTACCTATGTGCGATTGTAAGTAAATTTTCTTGTAAATTATATAATTTTTTATAGGACAGGGAGTAGGAAATCATCATACAAAAAATATCAAAATCAGCGAAATGAATTTAACGTCATGGATTTATTAGTTGGGAGATTTTTCTCTTTTTTTTTATTTCAAGAACTCAAGTGAATCGGTTGAAAATCGGTGAAAAATAGGTAAATAAAATAATGGATAATGCGATCAATTAGTGAACGTCACAAAAAAAAAATTATAGTTTTAGCAGAATTTAGTTTTAAAATTTTTTTATTAAATATTAAATTTTTTGGATAAATGACTAGGATGTTTAAATCAAATCTCCATAGTTAAAAATATAACAGGTTGATAACTCCATTTCCATATTAACGTGTTTATATTATTTTGAAGATTTAACTCTAAGTGAACACTTGGCTTGTGTATTTGTTTTGGACTTGTAATTTTGGGCCACTTGTCCAAAAAATTCAGACTCTAGACGGATGTATGTACCACCTGCGAGAAAAGTCCAAAATTTGAAACAAAATATACTTGATAGAATTCAAAGCTCAAAATTATTTTGAAATCGAAAAAATGTAGTTTAATTTTTCCAGAAGCATTTCTGAGAAAATATTCGATAACGAGAATAATCATTCTTCAAAAAAACAAATACAAATTTCTTTCGATTCCAAAGTACTTTTGAGAAGGTGCAATCGGTGAATCATAGTTTTTACCGATTGGCTGCGCAGTGGTATTCCATGAAAAATGTTTATTTGGCGAATGACTTTTCGGACGCAGATTGCGTTCCAAAACAGTTCTCTTGGTCAACAGGGCTATCATCTGGCCGGCGGCTTTCTCTTCGAAATCTCGTTGATTGTCTTGATTGTATCGGACGGTCAAATTGGCGCTCCACGTGCCCATGCCATCGCACCTATATGGTAAACGTCGCAAAGTGAGAATGACCGATTTCTCGAAGAGTCACGAAATTTCATCAACTGCGCTTGGCAATATTTATTAAAAATTTCGTTAGCTCACACTCTACGAATATTGGACAGGTTTCTCAGCTTCTTCGAAGAAGGTAGCTCCATGTCTCGCGATTGTTCGCTTTCGAGGGATTCATCCGGATCACTACTGTGCTCGTCTTCGGGGCTGACCTCGTCCTCGTCGTCGCACGTGTCCGAGGAAGCGATCGAAGACGAGAAGTCCGTAGCCGACCGAGACGGTCGTCGACGCTCCTCCTTGGCCGTCCAACTTCTCTGAGGCGTTTGCAGGTGCCGCTTATGAAGACTCGAACCGCCCCAAAGTCTCGCTGCAAAGACGGCCCATAGAGAAGAACGAGCGATTTCGCGAATCACTTGAAAATAGACAGAAAGTGAAAAAGGAATACCTAAAAGGCCGAATTTGGGCCGAGGGGGCAGAATCTCGATTCCCTCCCACCAAAAAGTCTCTTTGCAAGCCAGCTTTCCCGCCGGCAACGTGGAATCTCGCGCCACCAAGCGCGTGATTTTTTCCGGGAAGAACAGCTGGGGTGGCTCGATCGCAATGTGGTCCCTGTGAGCTAAGAATAAATCGACGATTCTCTCGTCGTTCTCGGAGCGAATTTCCGGTACGTGTTCCTACGAAACGTAAGTATCGATGTCTAATTTTGTCGGCGTCGATCATTTTACACGGCAAGTTCGTATACAGAGCGTAGAATCACGGACTCACGCGAAATTTGCAACCGTCCCTATTGGCCAGAGCCTGAAATCGGTAGGCTCGCTGACTGCAGCAGGGATAGCGGCCCAGAGGGAAGGGCGTGGCCCGCTGCTGCTCGTTGACGAAGAACTGCGGATTGTCCGGGTGGTAGGCGCACCAGGCCATCTGACTGACGGGAAAGCAGGTGGCGCACTGGCGGCAGAAGAGAAAGTGGCAGTCGCCCCAGAGCCTCCAGTAGACTTTGCGCCAGGAGCGCAGTTCCGAGCGCAGCTTGAGGACGTGCTCGTTCAGGCTCCAGCCGGTGTCCCTGCGCGCGAGGTAGAAGGAAAAATCGAAAGTCAGCCGCGGGCTCTTTTACGACTGCGCGCAACCCGGCGTGTGTATATAATAGATAATATGTGGTAAACGGGACTGCGCCGCGGGTCCGCGCGCACAATGCACACGCATTTGTGTCGAGGGAGCGATCATTTTGAGAAAGAGAATCGGCGTCGTGTATAGGTACCTAGTGTGCTTACTGTGAACGTCTCCCCGAGGGTCGATGCTCATGCGGTCGGGCGTGCAGGGCACCCTCAGCGAGACGGGCCGGCCGACGTTCTTGCGGCACCTGGCGCAGCGGAAGAGGGTGGCCAGCGAGCCGTAGTGGCCCCGACGCGCCTCGGGCTTCGGCTCGCCCAGCGCCAGGATGAGCTTGCAGAACAGTCGGCTCTGCACCTTGTCCTTCTTGTCGCGCACCGCCTCGAGGTCGGCGTTGCTGAAGCGCTCGGCCAGTCGCGTCAGCAGCGCGTCGTTCAGGCAACTGAGCACCGCCGAGGTGGCCAGCACTTCCGACAGATTCGCGTGGCAGTAGGCCAGACAGTCCTCGAGCAGCGGGCTCATCTGCAGGAACGAGGCCGAGACCATGATCGGCACGACGTTGGCCGCCTCGAGCCGAGGCCACTCGGACTTCTTGATCAGGTCCTTCTTGACCCAGCGCATGAGCCAGTCGAAGATGGCCACGTCGCAGTGCACCGATATGTCCATCTCCTCGAGCTTTTGGCCGGCCGTCACGTCGGCGAAGTAGCACATCTTCTGAATGAGCAGGCGCTGCGGGCACCGAAAGTCCTTCTTGATGTTTTTCGCCTCGTCGCACACGTGAATCTCGACTTCGGCCCTGCGACAGTAATTTGAGCTTACTCGACTAAACCGACTTTGACTCGAGCATCGGTGCTTACTCCGACAGCTTTTTCTGCTTGTTGAGCTTGTCCTTGGAACTCGACGTCTCCTTGAGCGGTGGAAAGCGATCGTCGGGCGGCTTCTTGGGCTCCGAGGCTCGAGGCGGCGACGTCGGCGTAACTTTTTTGCCGATGGCCTGCAGGGCCGACTTGGGAATCATGTAGGGCAGCACCGAGTCGAGCAAGCCCTCGTGCAGCACGTCGCTGAGGCACCGCTTCATCACCTTGGCCAACATGGGCTCGTCGTGCTCGCCTGACTTGGCCCCGCTGCTGCTCGACCCTTTGGCCAGTTGCAGCGAGCCGATGGCAGGGCTGCTCTTGGACTTGATCGCTCTGGCTTCGCTCCTGCTGCTGCCGTTGCCGCTACTTCCTCTGCCGGCTTCATTCTCGGCTTGGACCGGCTGGACCGAGAGCAACGGCTCCTCCTCTTGTCTGGCCGTCTCGTCGGGCTTGTTCGATTCCTGTGACAATTATCGTCGATGCGAATGGGACTCGCTTCTGTCGGAGACTCGAGAATCAATGAGTGTATTGCTTACCAGAGCAGCGGATGGCCCCGACTCACGGCCCGTTTCGTTCGAGTCGTGCAGGGAGAAGCTGGCCAAGGCGTTCCAGTCGATCTGACTGTTGGCCGATATGGCCGACGCTATGTCCGGGAAGTTGTCGTTCACTTGGTAAGCCACGCGCATAAAGTCGAAAAAGGCCTTGACCGACAGTTCCGCGTAGTTCGTACCCTCGACGGCGAGATCGGTCGCGCCGTCCCTCGATCTGCACTCGCTGCTGTTGCTGCTGCTGCTCTTGTCCAGCTCTGGAAGAACAAATCCATAGTCAACTCCGAATCGACGGCCGTCTCGATGCGATCGTCGCTTCTCGCGGCACGCGTATATTTACCTAAGCGCACCAACTCACCCTTTTTTTGCGCCTCCTGCAAAGGCTTGTCGTCTTTCGACGAGGCCGTTGGTTTCTGTTGTTGATGTTGTTGTTGTTGCTGCTGCTGCTGCTGCTCGTAAAACTCCGCGCAGCTTGGGTTTTTGAAGAGATTTGGAAACATCGCGCCATCCGAGCAGATCGACTGAGCGAACAATTAATCTGACATTTCTAAGACATCGTTGGGTGTTATTACCAAAATTTGCACGACTACAACGTTGAGCTTGATACGTGAAGGCTGCTTTCGTACATCCTCGTTGAGCGCGATCTTATAGTCGTCTTTTTTAGTGTCAACAACATTTCAGTTACTAATTTCCGATTTTGCACTACACTCATACAGGTTAAGATCTTTTAAAACTTCTTTGGAGCACTCGTACAATGTAGCGAGAAACATCAACATTGGTCATTTTCAGTATTAAATGTGGGAGTCAAGATCGCGCGTTACTAAGACGAAAAATTGATCAAACGCTTACTTTTCTTGCAAAGCAATACTGCTACCTTACGAATCTAGTTTTATTTTATCCTTTGCCCCGATATGACCGAAAACAATTTTCCCAAAGAACGTGCGCATCAATCATTGAACTTTGCATAATTTGGACTTTCATTACTTCCTGATCTTAGTAGTTTTATCAAATGACGCATAGACATCTTTTGAGGTGAGCTTAAATTTTAAGGCACACTCGCTTGATTGCAATAGTTTCACTTGTCAAGGTAAGATTTGCTGAATAAATTACATCGATGTACCTAAACTCAAGTGAAATTAATTCAAGATCCGATAAATTTTAAATTGAACGACATAAATAAATTAAAAATGAAGTTATTTAAATAATTAAAAATAATATTACCAAGATGAGTTTGCTTTTTGAATTTTAGTATTATTTTTCGAATTCATTGGTGATAAATAAAAGAAATCATTCTTTCCTAGTTTTATCATGAATCACTGTCATTAAATTTAAAAAACACATTGAAAAAAAAACCCAATGAAATTAAATGATTCATGTGCCCAAGTAAATAAATATTTCACGAAACATCAATCTCTGAATGCTGATAATTCTTCATCTCTAAATATTTATAAAGCTCAAATAACATAATCTAAATTTTATTCAGTTTCTTTATACACGTTTTTCTTTATCATCAATACATATTCAGGTACGTACAGCTACTACTATACTCTCCCTTTTTTCAACACTTAAAAAAGTGTAATAAAAATGAGATAAAAATTCGCGATTTTCATAATAATTACAGCAATTGAAAATGATTTCCTGACAAAAAAATCCCATGTAACAAGAACTTGCAAGACATTATCTGTAGTTATCGTACCTAAGGTTGTGACCACACGATAATTTTGTCTTTGTACTAATTTTCGTTCAATAATCAGGTGGAAGGGTTAATATTAATAGGTTTCTCAACAGTTCGGACGATTTCGTTTTTTTTTACTTCAAAATAATAATTGTAACAAATTTAATGAATCAGTAATATTAAATCTTTCGAATATATTTCGAAGCATATATATGACAATTGATAAGAATAAGTATAACATCAAATGATATAACTTATGGTTTTTGTAGATTTATCACTTGTTTTACTGTTTTTTACCGCAATTTATTCTCACTGGTTAGTAAACGTACTATCGTTTCATTTAGAGATAGTGTCAATGAGTCTAACTACATAAAATAGATTTAAATTCAAAATTGACAATATCCCTACTAAATTATAGTAATGACACCTAAAACAGATAGTAATTACATACTGTCAACACGATAAGATTACCGTCAAAAGTTACGTCAAGTTGAACATTAGTGCAATTTCATTCAAATTAATCGAGATTTAAATTATACAAGTTTTTACTCTTTTATGACACATTGACCTCGACAGAAAATACACTAAATCTGGTGGATTCTATAAGTATGTAATTCATTTTTAACACACATTGCACAAATGTAGAGTGTGCCATAAGTAAATCAAATCTAATATGTAGAAATATTGTTCGCGGAAAGAAATATCATAACCATGTTATGATTAACTGTCGATGTATAAATGACTTTTTCAATTAATTAGGCCATCAATATGAATTGCATACTTGGCATGAAAATAATATCAAGGAATAGTGATATCAACCTTGATTAATTTTTCATTCATATTTAATCATTAAACAACCATTATAAATAAAAGTAGTATTTGTTCAATAGAGAATAGCAGTCAAAAAAATCACTTGCAATTTGTTTTTTCTCTCCTATACTTATGAGAGTACATTAGGTTTTTATTTGCAAATTTACAGCTGCAAAATTTTAAGATCTTGTTTTCATTTGGTGTTACAATAAATTGATCATGCAAGATCAAATAAAACTAATGCTGAAGAATTTTATTAGAGATAGTAGCAACTGTAGCTAGGTGATAAAAAAGATTGTTGTGTTGATCATCAATGAAACAATATTTGAAGAATAATAAATTTAAGAACTGGCGTGGTTATAATGCAAGTTAATGAGCTTTTCCAGCTAAGGATGGGAAATCCTTGACATCATCAACTTTGGGTGCATTTTGACGTTCACGAGGAGATCTTTGTTCCGGCTAGAAAGAAAACAAATAAATAAATAAATAAAAATGAACAATTTAGTTATATTTCGTGTCATATCAGAGATTTTGAGTTGCTTACAGCTCGGAATTCATTATCAGGACGGACAGGTCCACGATTAAAACCACCGCGGCCTCCGCTGCGTTCTCCTCTACCACGACCGCCTCGGCCACCCCTACCACCAGCACTGCGTCTTGAGTCACTGAATTGAATATCAATATCCAAAAGATGCTTTTGACGTCCAACACGTTGAGGGTATTCAGTGGCATCATACTCTTCTTCTTCTTCTTCATCTTCATTATCTTCCTTTTTCTTCTCCAGAGCATACATCTTCTTCCAGCGAGACAAATCCTCACCTTCACCAGCTTTACGCAAGTTGAAAGTAGGTTTGGCACGAGTCTGACGAAGGGCCTTCCACTCATCAAGGGTTAATTCACGAGTCTCTTCTTCGACAGGCTTTTCTTCTACAGGAGTTGCATCAGCAATGGATTCACCAGATTGACCTTCAGTACCATCAGTGGTTTTAGGAGATGTCTCCATAGTTTCAACTTTCTCTGATTCCCAGTTTTCAGTTTGGTTGAAACTGTCTCTGTAAATGATAAAATGGGGTTTAGAAATCGGAATTATGTTTTACAGTTAGGTAACTCTTATTTCTAGATATTACTTGAATGATTAACTAATAAATTTTGTGTTAAAATTTCAAATATACAGTATACTTTTTTTTTTAATTGTAAGTTTGCTGTCAATCAACAAGTTATGATCATTGATTAGAAAATGTAAATCATTTCAAAAGATTATAAGTATAACACTTTTTTTAGTGTAAAGTTTCACTCATTTTACTAGTCAACAAATGTTAAATAGTTAAATTTAATTCAATCATGCAAGAAGAAAAAATCATCTTACTCTATTTCTTCAGTGTGACTTCCCCAGTTATGGCTGCCAGCGCCATCTTTCTTGTCAATGGATTTTACGCCACTGTAACCATTCCTATTTAAATTAATTGATGAAATACAGCTTTTTGAGAATAAATTATAGCAATTCAACTCAAATAAGCGACAATATCAAACACCTTCTTATGAAGTTACACAAATGAAGTGACAAACAAAAGGCTAAATTAATAAAATGTGGAAACAACTTTAAAACTCAAAGAATTGAAGGTATTATTAATAATTAGTTCCTTTTTAAGAAAAGGTTTATAAAAAAAGGCTAAATAACAGGTTCTTACCTGGGTAGCCTTTATTTGAGCAAGAAAAAGTTAGTAAGCATAAATAGTATTAAATTATTAGTTTCATTACATTTAAAAAATTCAAACTGATAGTGAATGAATAATCAAAAATACTTACGTTTTATCATTACCAGACTGCCTATCAAATTCACGCTTGCCGCGGTTATCAAATCCACCACGTCCACCGCGGAAGCCGCCTCGTCCTCCACGACCGGGACCACCACGACCGCGTCCTCCTCCACGACGATCGTTGGAGTCGAAGTTGCGGAATTCCCGTGGGTTTTGGTTATCACGAATCTCGCTAAAAAAACAATGAGAATTATAGATTCCAGTTGCACGAAGACTAAATTTTGTCTAATTTGAAATAAGAGCTCACTAAAAAAGTTGCAGTGGCTCTTATCGACTATTAATCTTACCCTGGTGGACCGCGTCTAGAATCATTTTGGATGCGAGGTAAGCGATCACCATCCTCTCGATTACGTCTGTTGTTATGCTCTTCACGAGCCTCGAACTTGCGTTCTCCGCCTGCTTTCTGCTGAGCAGATTTTCTATCTCCTGTTGAAAAAAATTACCAATTTAGTCGAGAGCTAAAAAAAAGGTATGAGAGAGCACGTGTAGGAATCGACAAATCATACACCTCAATCTTGCGTGAATCGAAAAAAGGTTGCTGCATCGTTCATGGTAGTAGAAGCATAAATTCTCGAAAAACTATAAATAAGTTTCATCGAGGATGCCAATGCGAAGAAAAAAAAAGGTAAAATACGTAATTTCAACGACGCGAGGTCGGCATATGAATTCAGAGCCGACATGTTGTAGATGCGCCGACGCGCTATCTCGCGGTACGTCGAGCACATGGTCGTGGCCCGAGCGAAAGCAATAGCCAGAGAGAACGAGGAATATCCACCATTTTGATGCACGCACGCGGTTCTGAAAAAGAAGAACCGGGGGGACAAAAGAGAGGAAGAGAGAGAGAAGTAGCGAGAGTCTCTTTGTCCGCACGGGCCCACGAGGCCCCAGCCTAACCTTACCGCGACGCACGAGTGCCGGCGTTTTAACGGGGGCTTACTATCGTGCGGGCAAAAAACAAGCGGCCTGCAGGCCAACCGAGCGATAGAAAGAGAGCGAGAAAACGCGCGCACGTTTTCCGTCTTTAGCAAGCCAGCGAGGCCAAAAAGGTCGATCCTCGCGCGCTTCTTCTATAATGTACTTATATGGTCATGGGTAGCAAATCGATGCCAAAAACTACGAAAATTGAATTTTTACGAGTGCACTTGGCAAAAGCACGCGCAATCGATGCGAATGAACAATGTACGGGTGAGAAATAAATTGGCAGTAGATCGAGAGAGACGGAGAGACAGTAGAGAGTGAAAAAGAGCTAGAAAGAGAGAGAGAGAGAAAAGTCGAAAGAGAAACCAACGATAAAAAACGTGAATTTTTCATACCGTCTTTTTTGCCGTCCTGGTTGCGGGAAACTTGCTGAGTCTGGGCTTGCTGATTCTGGGCCTGACTATGTTGATTCTCCTTGTTCGCCCGGGGTTTTTGCTTAGCTGGAGCGGACGACGGATTTTGCTTCTGGTGCTCTTGTTGCTTGGCACGCTGTTCTTTTTCCGTCAGCTTTTCTTTTTTCTTGGCTTCCCTCTCTTGTTCACGAATCTTCAAGATCTCTAGGGGGTCCTCATCTTCATCGAGAGCCAGGGAAAATTTGTTGGTCACGCTGATGCTGTATGCGTTCTCCATGGTGGTGGTCGGATATTTATTCGGAGGAAGGCGGCTTAGGCGGTGGCGCACGTCGGCAATTGACCCTTACACGAGGATCAAAACTTTTATTTTTGGCTACTCCTGAGCCCTTGTGTAACACAGACATCCAATTGTATAGATTCAATATGGCCGGAGTTGTTCCCCCAGTACTGCCGAGGAAAGAAGGTCTGAGAGACTCACCACGAGGTGCAGCTAAACCCTGCTCTGGCGACTAGAGCTGCGCAAGAACCTTGGTGGGGATGGACAAGGAGAGCTGTTGGCGTAAGTGGAACAGAGATGGGGATATGGTTGTCCGCTCGCGGCGCGTCGCAGACTCGCAACGCAGACGCGCGGGCGCGCGCGCAACTACCAGCTGAGCGAGCGAGCGCCGATTGGTTCGTTGTGCCTGTCTAGCTTACGTTTCTACTTGTCGCACCAAATTTGAATTATCCTAAACTCTCGATTAAAGAGTTCGGTCGATTAACGAAACTGACATTTTTTTTAAAATTAAAACTCATAGTGATTGGTAAAAACAGCTTTTTTTTATTAATTTTTGCTTTTGAGTTTTCTCTTTGCTTTTTACGGTCAATATTTTCAAAATCATTATTTGTGCGATGTTTTTCAGTCATTACTATTTCAGTCCTGACTATTTTTCAGTCTTAAATAAATTAATCAACACATCAAGGATTAATGAAACATTAACATGTAGTAGTATTGAGAACTTTAGCATTAATTATGAAGCAATTAATCGCACTTTATAATTATTTTTCCTATAAATTTAGTTTTAAAGAGATTTTTCAAACGGTAAATTTTAATTTTTTGTTTTTATAAACATGAGCTCCACTTTATTCACGATGAGACTAGCGCAGAGAACTTTTGAAATATGTTGAATTTTTTGTTAGAAATTTAAATTTCGGACGAGAAATTCATCGTAAAGCGACTGTCGACACACACGAGCACTGCATTAAATGTGGCAACGTTGCTATTTAATTTTCTTTAGCCGGGCTTGGTATGCACGTGCTAAATCTAATGACGATTGAGTGTCTAATCCTATGTTCTTGAGTTTTCGTGGAAAAGTAGAAGATCACTTAAAACATGCAAATAAAAATATTTTATGAATTAATCTGTTTTCGCAATATTTTTTAGAAGAATCACAGTTTGCCAATTTCATCTCGTTATTAAATGCTGTTTGATCCTCTCCTCTGCATTTAAATTTATTCAGTTGTCACAGTAGGCACTCATTGCCACTCTTAGGTCATCGAAAAAAAAATGTTCATGTAAATGTAATTGTGCAGACTGCATAGATGAAATGTTTCTCCCTTACTGCTGAATCAAAAAATAATTTTTTATATAGGTTGCAATCGATGTAGCCATTTCATGTAATTGACTTTTTTTTTAATTTTTATAATACTTCAATACTCAAGTCTAATATTCATCGTATTTAATATAAAACTCAAGCCTAAATTTGCATCCGGTCATATTTATTTTAATGACTCGTTATTGCTCATCTAACATTGGTTTTCTTGTCTTTTGGTATTTAATAAGTTAAGATTATGAAAACGAGAGTTTGCGGAAGGAGCGTCACTCGAAATTTCTCGTAAATGAAATTAAATCGAAATCTAATAATAGTACGAAAGAAGGAAAATGTGAAAAATCTCATTGACTCTGTACTTGAACACTTTCATTTTTGGCTTTTACAAAGAAAGTGCCGTGTACCGAAGATGGTATACGTCTAATAAATAAACGTAAGTGGCACGATAGTAATGCCACTTGAAAACCTCAATAACATCGTCATGCGCCTATTTATATTTAAAAGGCGCTCGTCTGATATGGCCGCTGCGAAATGTGTTTCGACGACATAGGCAGCTAGCTACACGTGCTCCGAGAGACACGCGATAATATGCATCGCCGAGTGAGGTTAAACACTAGTTAAACATAGCAACTCCGGTGATGATTAGTTGCGAAGAAAATCAGTTCTTTATGCATTTGCATGACAACACGTATTTCCCTAATTACAAACTTTTATTTATTTACAGATCAGTCCTCCAGCGATATTTATAACCAAATCAAAATCACTTATTATATGATGTATTTGTGTCATTTTTAATTAAAAGTAAATAAAAGTAATTAAAAAAACCCCGAGCACAGTCAAGACTGTGCCCATGCAAGTCAAAGCAAATAATTAAGTCCTTTGAACGTAAAAATAATTCAGTCATTTTCTTAGTGATGATTGGAAAGAATGATCTCTTCAATTAGATCCATCATATTTAAATGTCAGACAAATCACGGCATGCGGTGCGTCACATTATACATTTAAGCATTTTCTTAGAAAAAAATGTGAATTGTATATAGCTGTATTTTTTCGGTCATCGGGGCAACGTCGCCCCTTCTCAAAAGCCCATAATTCGGGATATACCAGCGTGTGCCGAGCGCCTAACGCCTCCCGCCATCGTAATCGGGCAACGCTATAATTCTGTGACGTGAACATTTGCTATTGCGTTGCAAGTTTAGCCCCCGACTCGGCTTGCTTGGAGAAAAATAGTCGATATGAGGGTTTGTTTGCGCATGCGCAGCTAGAGCGCGCGGGTTCGTGTGTTTGTGCGTTCAACGTTGCTCACGCGTACGCACACATACGTGATACGAGATTGCAAAATGAATTCCGCGGTATATTGGACGTTCGCGGAGTAAGAACACGAAGTTGGAGAGAGAGAAAGAGAGAGAGAGAGCGACGGAGCCGTAGTAGTGAGCGCCAACTCAGATTTTGGCGGTTTCGGCAGTTGCACGCGGCTGTGTGTAGTAGTTTCACGTGTTGCTTTGTGTACGCGTAAAAAAATCAACAACAATTAAACAATTCGACCGTTGAACATCAAGTTTTTTAAGAACTTCACTCTGTGACTTGTGACTTATCTGATGTGACGCTTAATTAGCGATTAATTTATGGTTTTCTGTTGCTAAGCTTCATTCATAAAATACAATTTCGCGCGGAGGTGGGCCGCGATTTCGCGGGTATTGGCGCGTATTGTGTGTACGAAATAAAGGCCAACTAAAGACGAACTCGTTCGCGGCGGCACAATCCTTGTTCAAAGTTGAATCAAGACCCTGGTAATGATGGAAATGTTGACGCCAAAGCGCAAAAATAGCGAGGGGTCCGTAAATTGCAGTAATTGCGGGATGCCACACGCCGCCGGGGATAAGTGCTATCATCCTTGGACGTGGGCCGAAAAAGCACAAAATGTTCATCTAAGTCCGAATGGTTCGTGCTCTTCGCCCGAAATGATGGTAGAAAATCGCAACGGTAATGGAACCTCGGCCGACCTAAGCAGTCCAAGCGATGCTGGTTCTCGCCATCGTAGAAACGACTCTCACAGGCGTGGACGACCCAGAGCCGATGCATTGACTCACCTCATGATGCAAGGCAGTACCTCGCCCTCGAGCATCAAATGCGCTTACTGCAATCGCGTGTTTCCCCGAGAAAAGAGTCTTCAAGCTCATCTTAGAACCCACACAGGTAATTACTATCTCACATGAACTTTGTTTATGTCAACTTTGGCCCGCGAGGAGTTATTCCGCGCGAAAAAATTCTGACATAACCTCAAAAAAGCGATTTAACTGCGCGAATATCAAAGCATGCTATTTGCAAATTATGTCACAGCGCGTGCACATGTATACATAGTATTGCACAGTACATGTTCACCTACATGCATATCTTATGTTCTCTTGCATATTGATTTTCTATTGATTTCTATGAAAGAATTATCATTTGCTCTACATTTGCATCGCGACTTAAACCATCACCCACCGTGAGGATTTTGCCAAACCATGTGCAAGGTTATACGTGTTACGGTGCTGCACAGTGTATTATTCGTCATTTACGACGCAGTTCAAAGGCGTGAATTAAAGTATCGATTCCGAATAAAATCAATCGCTTTTCTCTTTTCCATGAATTGAGGCATCGATTCGGCAATGTTTTCGTGTAAGCCGTAAAGATGGGTCTACCCGGCTCCGAGTTCGTTCGAGTTATACGCTTTTGCCACATGGACGACGCGTTTCTCCCGCGCGCGCGATTCTACGTATTAAAATACAAAATGTCCGAAACCTAACGGATATAAAGCGTTTCACATGTTCTTACTTTTTATTACTTATTTTACATCCACCGATAAGCTTACTTTTTTTTCGCTTACGATTATTTGGTTATCGACAGCGACTTTTAATTCGTTTTACAACATTTTACGTTGAGGTAGCCGGCGGCGACGTTCACTCGCTGCTTTTCTTCCTCTCGCCCATCACTTGTTTTCTCATACGGCCGCCGTATTTCTGTCTTTGTTGCGCCGTGGCGCGCTTACCATCTGTTGAATGCCTGCTCATTGTTGCGTTCTTGCAATACATACATACAATCGCGCCGGAATATGTATGTGAGTTAAATGTATACGATGAATTTGCTCACACTGGCCATCTACTGACGACTCGATGCTTTTGATACTGCTCTTTAAAGTCGGAAGAAAATAATTTTGTTTATTTACTATAACTCATCATTTCGTTTGCAAACTTTTCCTCTCTCACATTTATTATATAAGTATAATTTTTCATTTTGAACTTACATCAGAAATTAATCTTATTACGAGCAATACTTTTTTAATTATCTCCGATCGGAAAAGAAAACATTCACATATAATTCAATATTAATTTTTATAGACTATCTTGTGTTTCTGTAAGCTTCCGGGAATTTCTTTATGAGAAAAAATGAATAGAGATTTTGAGAAATTTGTATTGAATAAGGGGAAATACTAAGAATTGAACGCTTTCTTAACTGAAAAACCAATTTTTTCCTAATTGTGTTCTCATTAATTAGTTTTTTTTCCATACATAAATTGTTAAAACAAAATTTCTGAAAAGTGTGTGAGTAAAAATTGATAAATGTAATTTTTTTCAGGTGAACGTCCTTATACTTGTGATTATCCAGGGTGTACAAAAGCTTTTACGCAATCAGGTCAATTGAAAACACATCAAAGGCTGCATACTGGTGAAAAACCATTTGTTTGTACTCATGAAGGATGTGTAATGCGTTTTACTCATGCTAATAGACATTGTCCAGACCATCCATATGCCACTCTCACACGTTCCGATGATTTTGTTTTGAAACCTGTATCTGGTAATACAGAAATTCCACATGAAGTCACAAGATGGTTGGAACGTTATAAATTGAACAGAGAGAGAGAAGATAAAACACCCACTGAAAAAAGTGAAAGAAAAATGAAGTCCTGGAAAAATAACAGTGAACACAAAAGAGGAAAATCTCGAAAAGGTCTTATTATGGATACAGTTGTTGAACAAGAGAATCTTGACCGACCCATTCAAAATCTCAACTGCATTTACTCCAGTGAAAGTCAAGATAGTCAAGATGAAAGTCAAGACGAGGATCCTGTAGAAAATTGTGGTATCCTACCAACTTCTGAAGATGAAGAAGATGTTGAAATTAATAAACATCCTGCCACTCCTCAAAGAAGGCCACTCGATCGTCTGCAACCTAAAAAACGTTGGTTAAGAGAAGCTTGTTTAGAACAACAATTAGCAAAGCCTCTGAGGTGGGATCATCCAATAAATAATTGCAATAGAATTATGCCTAGTCTGGGTGAATCTGTTCAATGGTGTCTATCTGAATCAAAACTACCAAATTTTAACCAAGCCATTAATAAACCAGAAGAAGATTCCACACCTTCTGAAATTACTAACAATGTATCTGAAGTGGTACAAGTTTCTTCAACTACTATAAAGGAAGAAAAATTTGTTCCAAACCAGCCATTACAAATGAACAATAATGAAACAAGACCTACAGTGTTGATGCTTGCTGGCAAGAATCAACCTCCAAAATCTTGTACTCCAGAACTAACTAATACTGATTTAAAGGTAATAGTAGTTCGACAAGAAGAAACTCTTACACCACAACCACCGGTATTAGAAGACAATCAAAAATGGCTTGGAGCCCTTGCATTAATGGAATTGGCTGCAAATAAAAAGGAAGTTGAGCATTCTCTTGTTTTAAATCATGATTCTTCTCATTTTGCTGCACACTCAAGTTATATTGAACTATAAGAGACTGTATAATTTTACTAAATTTGATACTACAGCGTTCTGCCTGAATATGCTCAATGTGATTTATAATTTAATTAACCAAACAAATATAAAAGCACTTCAGAATTGACCTTGCTTTTTGAAATGAATACAATATTTTTCATTAACTTCCTGATTTTAGTTCAAAATTCATCTCTTTGATTTTGTCTATTTAGCCCTAACAAAGTAAGGTCAATGTTCTTAAAAATTTTATAATTATGAGCAATGTTTGTGAATATGTTATTTACTGTAGAAAAGCTCACTTTACATAAAATATGTACTGCTTGGGTGAATAAGAAAATATTTTTTATACTTGTTAGTAAGTGTTAAGCACTGACCAGAAAAACTTTTTGTACTTGATGTGATTAATATAATTATATTATAATATTACTTTATAATATTATAATGCTAGAATATTATGATATTATAACATAAAAATATTATAATATTGTAATCATAAGATTTATAAGTAACCAAAAAAGATTCGAATGCATAGTGTCATTTCAAAGGAAAAATTGTTCATGTTACTTTCAAAACTTTTGAGTTGATGAAAAGTTAACTGTGTCAAAGATGACCATTTAAAGGCTAATATAAATACTGTTGAAAAATCGAGAGATCACTTGTATGCCATCGATCTTATAATATTGTTACAAAAAAAAAAGAACAGCTCAGATAATTCAACGGAAAAATCGTAGTCACTATTAATGTAAAGGTGTGTGATAGAAAATATTGAGAAGTACAAAGTGATTTACAAAGTAGTGTAAATCATTTCCATGTTAAATTAATCTTCTTCCCTTATCCTTTTAAATTTGTACGACATGTAAATAATTCTTTATTTTAATAAAAACCTTGACACAAACATCTTTTTCGTAATTAATATATTTTTTTGTACAAATATTTGTTTAAGTTGCCTTTAAGATAGCAATGTAAAGTCATGGTCATTAACTAAATTCATCTTGAGTCTTTTTTTTATTCATTTGAACTCTTTTTAACTCTGTTTCACAAACTATGAAAACTTTAAACAAAAAAAAACTTTTGGTTCACTCGAATAATGTTAATAATTATGATGTTAAAACATTTCATACACTTTCACCTTATTGTATCATGTATCACTTAAATTATAAAATGTTTAAATAAACAGTTACATTTGATCAATGAATATTTGCATTTTAAAGAAATTTATTACCCAATTAAATTAATAGAAATTTAGTTGATATGGTATAGAAAACTACTGTTTCATTTGGTGATGTTGAAGTTCGGGATACAGGGTAGTTATCAGTGTTTGCACATTTGATTATCATTGTTTAGACAAGTTTTAAATGTCGCTTGGAAAAAAAATGAAATTTGTTTAAATATTTTCCATCAAAAATTTATTAAAGAAGTTACTTAATTACAATTTCCCTCGTAAAATCACAATGAGAATTATCATTACTGGGAATTCAAATTTTATGTTAAATGTACAAAAATTCACCAGGTATTTCTCATTATTTTTATACTAGGTTCAATTCATAGTTCATCATATGATATATGTTTTAAGATTGTGTCGATTGCATCAATCAACAGTTATGATATTTAAAGTAAATTTACAATTGAATATTTTATGTTTTAATTTCAACATCTGAATATATATACTTTTAAAATTACTGAAAGTTTCCACGAAATCTGAAATTATAGAAATAAAGACAAAAAATTTCAGTTTAAACGTGAATTTATGCTTGGCTATGTACAATAGTAACTTACAAATAAAGCAATACAAAAAACAACGTAAAACTTTTTCTTAGAAGTTTAGCGTTTTTAAATCTACGTCAATAGATTAAAATCAAGTTATGATTCATCGTTAGTTTTATTTCATGAAATTTTAAACTGATCCACATGCCATCTCACAGAGATGCTGTTTCCAACTCAGTGATAGAACTCGTTTTTCAGTTATTCAGTGATCAGTATTAGTAGGAAATCGTCGATTTTACCTATCTTAAACTTGTATACATACAAACTGAACAATTATTTTTATTGTGAGCTGAGCTAAGAGCTTTACACATGTATAAATTAATTTTCAATTAAATTTAAGATTGTCCTTTTGTAGATCCAAGCAAATAGGAAATATATTGAGATGAATCATACATTTATTCTGGCTCCTGACCCTCAGCATCTGCACATAATAGTTTTAATGAAATTTCAGATTAAAAGTTATTATTGAACCATTTATAAAAGTAAAATTTACCTAATGTTTCAGGTTCTTCTCTTTCAACTTCTTCATCTACGTAATCTTCATCATTTTCTTCATCATTCTCATCTTCATTTTCCTGACATTCATCACCAGGCTCCTCCATCAAATCATGAGTTTCATCTTCATCTAAGTCATCATCCATAATTTCAACACTATCATCGCATTCTCCACCAATTTCATCTTCATCATCTTCATCTTCTTCGCTGTCAACTTCATCGCCATCAATGCCATTTTCGATTTCCATATCAGGTGCCAAGTAATACTAAAAAGTGAAATAATAGATATTGAGTATTGTGGATGAAAACAGTAGTTTGCTATAAAAAAAAAGGAAAATAATAATCTTACCTGTAAAGGATTTGGCCAGAGATCATCTTTAATCAGCTCTGCTATTTCATCAGAGCTAGGGTCTCCATGATCCGTAAACCAGTCGAAAAATGACCTGTGGCCAAGTGGCCTTTTTCTAGATTTCATTACTGTCTTTGCTTTACTTCTTTTTGATAAATCTGCTCCTTCTTTCCACTGTATAACTGTGCTTTGCGATGCTGGGTCACCTGTAATAAAGTATTCAATCAGTTGTTTAAATAGAAAAATTGTTCACATATTATGACCTCAAGCCTATGCTTAAAGCCAAGGCAAAGAGGTCTGCTCACCAGACGAACCGAGATGAAACTCCTTTGTTAGTATACTGTTTTCAAAGTATGGGTTTGCATCAAAATAAAAATTAATTCGATAACCAGATTTGATATCTTCAAACTCTTCTACTTCCAATTTGTTCAAGTATCTTAGTGCATCTTCTTCATCTTCTTCCAGAATATCAGCAATCTTTTTATTGTTGACAAACTAAATAAAATTTCAACTAGTTAAGGAAAATTAGTTTTTGCTTCAATAATAAAATTTGTATAGTGAATTCAAAGTTGATAGAAGTTTTTCATAACGGAATAAGCTAAATAATATTAAATAAATAACAAAATATATAAATAAAAAATTGAGATAAAAATATTGAGTTATAAGTAGTAAGTATAAGTTTTGAAGGAAGTACAATCTAAAACTCAATTCATCGATCATATAATTTATTGCAATTTTTCTTGATCACTCGAACCTTACTAAGCATTTACTTTCTGTACCTTTATAACAGAAAAAACGTATTATTTCATCCCTAACATATCATCAACTCATATGCAACTGAATAAAGCAAAAAAGTATGAATGTAAAAAAAATTGTTTAATGGCTAAATGTAAAATTAATTCAACAAACTATAGAAAGATGCATTATTGGATATAAAAAAATGGCGTCAAACGGTATGTGTGCGTGTGCGCACAACCGGTACCGGACGCGCATAGCTGTGAAACGCCGGGCGATTGTATACCGGCTGTAAAAGAGACAACTGTCTACAGCAATTGAGCCGAAGAAATTTATGCACATTGAGAAGAAAATGCTCAAGAATTTCGAAGAAAGCAAGTAAAATGATGTAAACTCAAAGTTCAATGCATATGTTTGTTAAAAAAGGATACAGCAGTGACCCAGAAATTGGGTATCCTCTTGATGATGTCGTTTCGTTTCTGGAAGTATGGCTTTCTCAACTTGTTATATTTTTTTTCCACTTCGAGTATCTCATCACTGGCTTTCTCGTTAAGGCCGTCAATCTGATTTTGACAGCCATCGATTTCCTCGAGGGCTTTCTGAATCTCGATGTTATAATCGAGGCTGTCTGGGCCAACTCCATCGCCGTCACTGGACTCTTCGAGCTTCCTAACCTTCTTGCAAGGCGAGGAGGACATGTCGAGCAAATCTTCGCGAACTATCTGAAAGTGAAGCAAGCAGCACCCGCGAGGTGAAGCGTCGGGTCCGATTCGTTATTCGGTCGTTCGAGCCGAAGACTTCAAAAACGGATAGTTCGATGACGATAAGGGACACTACTGATAAATGTTAGTATCAAACGAAAACTGTGTATACTATATACGAATGTAATGCACTCAGCGCACACCGCACGACACAACACACGTTAACATACGTAACTAAACTTATTGCCTATTTCATTTAGAAAGAGTTCGCGCAGTTGTGGTGGCGCTGTCTTAAACACATGAAGCGCCATAATATTGCAATCGCCAGTCCATGGGTTACCAAAAGATCTCTTTTATCGACACAAGTAATTCAAATCTTTCAAGTTGTAAAACATACGTTGAATGCAGATAATCATAAAACTTCAGAAGTCGTTTTTAATTTTCTGTATGCATACACATACCCGGGCAATCTCATATTATGCGGCAACTCAAAAGGTTTTCAAGTTGGAGCAAATTCAATAACAAGGTACGTACATTTTAATTCATCTGCACCTGGTGAATTTGATACCGTAAGATATACCTGAGGGGAGAGACACTCTCTTTTTAGTTTTCTAAAATACGCGTTGCGTTGATTCCGAGACTTCTCTGAAGCTTTAGATCTTTATTTTTTGAGTTTCTTTTTAATATGAACGCCTAGGATGACTCATAGTTTTTCTATAAAGGGCTTTTTTCCATTTCAGAGCTTTGTTTGAGCCTAAGATAGTTCTAACTCCTAAGATTAAATTATTTATATCCAAAAGTACCTTTAAAGGTAAAAAGTCACGTACGGGGAACAATAACAACAAAGCTTGCAAGTCAATTTTTTTCTTGTATATTTAAAATATTGTTCACGTTTTAATTAACTATATTCTTCTCTTTATTAGAATAGAACATTTTCAACTCTTTATTTCTATGTTTTTTTAATGCTTTAGCTTCATTGGTCGGGGAGAACCGTAACTTTTTTCTTAGAGTGTTTATTTTTTCTTGACATACAGCAGCCTGTAATTTTATAGTTTTGTAAACATAATAACGTAGTGAAGCAGAAACTCGGAGCATTGGCAATGCCCCTGTGCGTATGCGTATCATAGCCATAACATAACAACCTTTAACACGTATAGAGCCCTAACATTCGGCAATCTCTTGCACTCGCCTCTGCAGTGCAGTTCATAAACTCGCAGTGTGACTCAGTGTCCAACGAAAGGAGCGCGCGCTAACGCGGCCGACAATCGACGTGCCTCAGCCAGCGAGGATATCAGAGAGAATTTCACGCGGCGAGCGCACTCGCAGTGCAGCTGCACCAAGAATCCGTGTTTTTCAACATTCGCCCGTAGATCAGTAATAACTGGTCAAAGATCGATATCTTAGAATCGCAAGTAAATACCGGTTGCAGCTTACTTATGAGCGACGGAATCGTGTCAACGAGACATGTTGACATTCTGATGTCACGCGAGACATTGTGGCTTATGCTGCTCGCGCGGGAGTGTATAACACAACATGAATGGAACAGAGTGCGAGCTGACGACCCGTAGAAAAAATGAAGAAAAAAAACATCATCCAAGATCGCTTATGAGCGTGTATAGCGTAAAGTTTCTTTATGCTCGATAAATTCTTTCGCGGGACATTTAATATTGGTTCATAGAAGAGTGCTTAAGGCAGCTATATTTCCTGCACGACTCTCAAATTTCATTTTTATCTTTCTTTCTTTCGCATTTTTATCTTGAACTTTACGCTCCACCAAGGCTATGTACAAGTCAAAAAGTACAATACGAATGTATATGCGTTCATTATACACTTAGTAATTCGAGATAAAAACAACGACCGCAACCATACAATGTTATACATGTGCACGTTATATAGGTACTTGAAAAATTCTCGCTCGCTTCGCTCTTGCTTCTTGATGGGAAGAGACGTAACGTTTCGTTCTCGGTGGAACGAAGCTGAGACAAAGGGCGCCACTCAGCTTAGTATTGCCTCCACTTCTACAGACGATAGATCCTTCGGCAAGGCTACAGCAGTCTAACGAAGTCGCAGCTCGCGAGCAGTGTGCGCTACGCGCTTCAAAAAAATTGCTGCTGCGCTACTCATCAGACATGTCTATAACTGTGTTTACATATTTACCTACGAGTGTGTGACGGACGCGCTTTATTTAACATTTACTGGACGGTTTACCCTGCATCATTGCAAGCATTATTATGGGTAAGTAATGCGTCTTTCTCAACCCTACCATTAACCCATTTGGTTTACATTCAATTCTTTAGTTTTTTCGGATTTTTCTCATTTTAATCTTTCTATTATATTTTTAATTGGTTTTTTTGTCTCTTTTTATGGAATCATTATTCCTTATACGTTACTATTCATATTATAAAAGTTAAATAGTCATTATTATAAATGAATCAGTTTTTTGTATGCAATTCATTTTTACAAAATACTTTTCAGTTTCTCAAACAATAAACTTATGTGAATCAGAAAACAAAATATAATGATTAAAAATTTTATTTAAGTAATTATATTATTATTAATAGGTATCATAGGAAGTAAAGAACAGGCAAAAACACCTCCTCTTTTATGTTCTCTATCCAGACAAGAATGGCTCCAGTGGAAAAAATGTTTTCTCAAACTTTTGAACTATAAATATATCCCACCATATAAACAAGCCAATAAATTTTTTAAATACACTGGCTTTCTTGGAGAAGAAATAGCTAATCGTTTATATTTTCATGGTTCAATGTATGAATCAACTCTCAGGACTTTATTATTTAAATTTGATGTCTATTTCATTTACTGTGGAATTACCAAACCTACAGAAAAGAGCATCAGTGAATATGTTCTTATCTTAAAGGTGAAATATTTTTTATACTTTGAATAATTTTATTAATACAATAACTTAAAATTTCTTATTTGTTAATCAATTGTTTCAGCATCTAGCAGAAGAAGCTGAATTGTCTGATCCTACAACAAAAAAAACTGGTGATGAAACTCACAGTGGCATGAAAATAAATGATATAATAAAAGAAAAAATATTGCAAGACTTTAAAACTCACAAAATATTTGATGACTTAAATAATAGGCGAAGTACGCTATACATAAGTAATTATGAAAATTTGGCATTAAATGAGCTTGTTCATTTATGGAAAGAATATGAAAAAACCTATCGACAAAACCACGAAGAAAACCAGATTGTTGAGAAAAATATTCATCAGAACAGCTGCGATCGCTGCGGATTATTTCATGATAATTTCAAGTGCCATGCCATAGGTAAAAATTGTTGGAATTGTGGTGAGCGTAATCATTTTGCAAAAGTTTGCCAAAAATATGAGGTCATACAGTGTCCCTGTTGCGGTAGCGATCATGCACAAAATAATTGTCCAGCTACTGCTCAAGAGTGCTCTAAATGTAAAGGCCTACATCATTTTGCTTGGAAATGCCCTTGGGAAATGTGCAGTCCTTGCATGTATTGTGGAGAAAATCACATTAATAATCCCCAAATTTGTTCAGCCCATAATAATCAGTGTAGTAATTGTTATGTGAAGGGTCATTTTACTACTTTATGTCCAAATCTTAAGAATAAAAAGTGATATAAGCTCATGTGTTCATCTAAGGTAAAACAATACAAGCCATATTTTTATATTTAGTAAAGTAACATTAAAATTAAAATAATTATACATATCTAGACACTTGAAGAATATTGTATTACAACATTTTTTAATTTTCTATGCAATAAAAAATTCGTTTTTTATAAAAATAAAATGTTTATTAAAATTGTCAAATGAATCAAAAACATAAAAATTACTGTTTCTCACCCCAAGTTATTTTTGTTTTGAAAAAATTGATTCCATATTAAAATATTGAAAACTACATAATCTTAATATAGTAGTTATAAACAATTTACCTATATATTACTAGCACCTTAAACTTTTTTTTTTTAATTAAATGTATTCTCTATGCAAAATAAGAAGGTGATGCAGCTAAATCAGTAAGAATTAGCTTTTTTTGTTCTTCGTTTAACATCGCGTATAATTTTTTATAACCTGTCCATCCATCACAATGTGTCCTTTTAAAATCACTCATTGTCTTCTTTATTGTTTTCTGATGTAAACAAATGTATGAATCAATTAAAAACTGACTTTCATTCAAGATTAAATGATAATAAAAATGTATCTGGAACTTACCGAGATTGGATGAGGATCGTTAAGGTGTGCTTTTAGTTCTTTGAAAATCACTTCAAAATCTTCAGGTAAATCGTAAGGATGCGCGTCAATAAAAGCACACATGCCCAATATTCCAGCATGCCGTAATTTAATTGCATTTTTCGTTTTCTCAGCAGTTGAAGGTCTTTTATTACTAGGTAATTTAGTTTCTCCTAATTTTTTAAATTCATCCTAGACATATCAAATATTTTATGTTCAGTTGAATAATAAAAATTATATGTGTGTATGTATATTGTACACTTTAATTATGTATCATGTTTATAAATGTTAATATATTGTTAAGAATATAGAACTTACCAAAAGTTCTTTTGTATCAGTCAATAAAGTATAGTGTAACATGCCATTTAATAATTTGGCTGCTTGCTCTCTGACCTGAATCTGATCATCTTGAATTAAAGTCATGACGATTTTTCGACAGTTTGATATCCACAATGGGTTTTTCAAGAATGATGGCAAATTGTTTGATAAAAAGACTTGGAGAAACAATATATTTTTAACTCTAGTTGTCCAAGAGATACTTTTATTTACTTGTTCGAAGACCTCGAGAACCCTGGGTATGATTTCAGGTTTAACCATCGCTGCAGCAAGTCTTCCGTTCGCTGATCCGCAGTCGTCCTGAAAACTGTCGCTTGGATCAGGAGAATTTTCCATATGAGCCATGATTGGATAAAGCTTGTACCAACTTGCATCTACATCACTATAAAACCGAGGATGTAAACCCATACTTATGTATGAGCAAAATACCTTTAACGCACGAGTTAACTTGATATAACGAGGACTATTGAAGTCAGTCTCTGTCAGTAAAACTTCGAGTTTTGGATATAATCGGTTTATATAATTCTTTATTTCAGGATAAGCTATTGGAAAACAAAAATGAAATTTCAACTACAGGTCAATCAATCAGTATAACAACTCGTTGCTTGCTTACCGGTATAGGCACGATCATCCAGCCGAACTCCGATGTTTGAAGTACAAAACAGTCCAACTGAAAGAGACATGCTTAGCTTTGAGAAAGGACTCTGGAGACTGCGATCGAAGAACTTTTCAATTAAGGTATGAAGTTTGTCTGCCATTCGCCAAGCTTGCTTATGAATTATGTCCTGTACTAAATTATGCTTGACAGACTCGTCAAAAGTATTACCTGTCGGAGCATCAAATTCTTCAAAAATGGCATTAAAAAACCAATGCAATCGATTAGGATCTATTTCATTAGCTATACTCATTACGCATTCATCCCACACTGGAGACGTTTCCGGAGTTAAATTTTTCACAGCTTTTTTAAATATTGGCAGTAAAAGTTTCCACATATTTTGAGACATCTCAAACGTCCAATATTTTGATCCTAAAACAATACCTTTAAAAATTGTAGAAGCAGTGAACTGCACATTAGACTTTTTTTCGACCAGTTTTTCGAGATGAGATAAAAATTGTGTTAAAAAAGCATCTCCGCAAACAGAAAATATGTATTTTAACATATTGGAAATCTCGAATAAATGCTCGTTTAGCGTATCTAGATCGTGCTGCCAAATTTCGATTAGTTGGTTGATATTATTCTCGTCGTTGAAAAAATTGTGAATTACCCTCTCTTGGTCAGAGAGTTTATACTTTTCACATTTTTGAAATGATGGTACTTCAAGTTCAAGACGTTGCGGCCACGTGTAATATCCTACATAAATTTTGTCTGAGTAACGAGGTTCATTCCATTGTTCACTATTTATAGGATGATTTTCAGGTTTAAATTGTAACCATTCGTTGTCAGATCTGCGTCCAGGTATCAAATTTTTTTCTTTCGTTGGAATGTCAATCGTTACCTTTCATTCATAATTATAAATTTAAAAATAATATATTTTAGAAACAAAAAAATTAAAAATGTAAAATATCGTTATTAAAATACCTTCGAAGGTTTCGGTCTTAAACGATAAAGAGCACCTATCATCCACATAACAGCTAGAGGTCTTAAATTAAATGAATCGTCCTTTAAAACGTCCAATACGCATTCAATTTCAATCGCCATTGGAATAACATCACGATTTCCAAGTACAAGCAAACACTTTAGAGCGAATTCCCGACGTGACCATTGAAGCTGTTTATTTCTTGCCGGCATTGCAAGATTTTCTATAACTCGACGAAATTCAGTTAGAACATTTTGTTCATGTTGATTACATTTAATCAAACTCTGGCTCATTTCATCGTGTATCGGTTTTGGTAAACTTGGCTGCAATCCATGCTCCCACATCAATACAGCAACATCCCGACAGTTGTCAGTCGTACGTACATCAAAACGTAACATCTCTATTGTCAACAAATTATTCGACAACTCGTTTCTCTTATTGATAATCGAATCATATTCTATTACTTTAGCGGAAACTAAAGCTGGAAACAAATCTGTATAAATTTTCCAATCATATATAGAGAACATCTCCAGAGAATGGTCATCATTTGACAATATGTCTAAAATACCCTGTAAAAAGTTTTTTTTTGAGCTTTACATTTTTAATGATTGCATTAAAAATTGTTTCTATTTACCTCAAAGGCGTGTAAATTATCTTTTGAGATGGTGCTAATTATTTCTAACATACGAGGAATAATTATGCGATGCGATCCAGGATAAGAATTGATTATGACTGCAAGATGTTCACGAGCTAATTGACGAACTGTTTCATAACGACTTACACAAAGCTCAAACATTTGGAGCATAACAGTTTTGGTAGTTTCTGTCAGAGAGAATTGAGTGCAACTCCGGTGATATAGTTTTTGTTGCGTTACCAACTCGATAAACCGAACACACGAATATCCCTTATCATTAGCTAAAACATTCTCATTTTTCTTTCTTTCTGATGAAACTGCTAACAGTTCTTCTCGAATATCAAAAATATCACTTCTCTCGTGGCGCAGGATTTCATACCACAGCTTAAATTTTTTTTTATTAAAAACAAGTTCCAAAAGTAAACCAAAACTAAAATAACGATACTTACATTACACAAAAGCATCAAACTTTCGGTATCATTCTCATCACGTTTTATCATAGCCATTTGCAAATTTGTTAATATTTTTGTTAGAACTTGTCTCACATTGTCACCATTTGGCATAGTAATTTGTCTTGAAGGATAAATTTGAGTTGAATCAAATACAGGTGAGCACGATTGGTAAGATTCTATAATCAAAGGCTTTTCAGACCACATTGGAAGAATGTTCTTGCATCCTACTATCGCTGCTAGAATAATTCTTAAATTCGTTTGAAGTTTTATTCTGTAAAAAAAAAATCAAAATACAATCATGTTTTTCAAGGAAAACGTATTTTAAAATTACCTAGTAACAGTTTCATTTTCTTGTATGTATTCTTCAAAAACTGAAATCACCCGATTGAAATGTTTGAAAAATAATTTTTCGACGACTGAAAATTCCGCTTCACCAGGTATAGACCAAAGCTTTTTCACATTTTCAAGATCGACGCTGATGCCCCAATCTCGCCAATAAGGATAATTAGGATTATCTAGATTTCTCTCAATTCCTAAATCAAGTTCATCCGTCAACGAATCAAATACGTTTGTTAATAATTCGCATCCTAATTTAGAAGCCCCTTTTCCGCGAAAGTGAATAACTTGGTCCAGCCCCTTATCGAGAGTTTCTATGTAAGAAGTGAGATCTTTTCCTACAACCAGACATTGGAGTAAAGATAAACAGAAATTTAACCGAGGGCTCGAATGAAATTCATTTTGTTCTTCTGTATGATCATTGGACAGTATCTCATCCATAAGACTAGGCAATAGAGCTTTTTGAGTTTCATGGGCATTGACTCTAACAAAATGATCAGCTAGTTCACAACACGAGCGTATTGATACTTTGGAGGTAAACGTGTTACTCAAAACAAATTCAGTAAATTTTTTTAAAGCACTTTTAAATATTGCTGAACTGCAATTCATCAGCATGGCATAAATCATTTCGAAAACTTTATCAATTGCAATGTCTTCGAAATTATTAAGATCATTCTCTCTCGATTGATCCGTGGCAACCCATTCTAACGAGCTTTTGTCGATTATTGAAAAAATTTTTTCCAAAATTTCGAGAACTAAATCTTCCAATTGAGATGTATCTTGACGTAGTTGACATTCGTTTTCTCGAATCATCTCGTTTGATTTTGAACAGTCAGCGATGATCATAAACTCAAAAAATGTTGTCAACAATCGTGACGTCATTATGGTTGTAAAAATATCGGTAGTACCAATAAGTCCAGGCAAGAAAGAATAAATCAGCGGTATAACTTTCTCCGGCCCTTCGGCATAAGTATACTCTGCATTAAATTATACGGATATAATGATCAATGAACCAATAATATTAGAAATTTTCAACTTTTAAAATGCCTCATTTATAAATAATATTCACCTGTACTTGCATTTCTCGATCCTTGCAGCATTGGTTTTGATATTGAATGGAATAGAAGTGCAGCTTTCATCATCTGATGTTTTTCAATTTGACATTCATTATTCTGGTAAAATTCTTCCAGCAAAGCTGAGATTACTAAGTTAGGTCGTATCTTTCCAAGTTTTGTAAAAATTGCATTCACCGCGATATTTAAACTATCATTGGATTTCATTACGTAGGATAGAAAAATTGTAACAAAAGAGTCAATATTTGCATCGGTCAATTTATGGCTGTCTGGTACTTTTTGGTGACTTTTTTTTTTATCACTGCGTTCTCTAAAAAAAAAAAAAAAATTAATGGTAGCAAAAAAGTATAATGTATAAATGTATATAACTCACTTGAAAATTCGATGTTCGAACGATTTTGTTATTTCATAACATAAGTGAATTAGCCAATCGGTAACAGGTCCACAATTTGCAGCATGCAAATGAGTCTCAGTTAATTTTAAAAACTTTTCAAAATAAAATTGAGCTTCTATGTTGTTTCCCTATAGATAATAAATTAAACAAGCTCTATAGAAAATAATAAAACAATATATTCGACGATTATAAAATGATATACCCAAATCGAGGCCATCCATTTACCAAAGCCAATTTGTACACCAATAGTATGGTTTTCTGAACTATGAGGTTGTGAAGAACTAATTTTGTAATGAATTGGTAATTTAGCTGATTTTATTATAGAGTTAAACAAAAATGGTATGTAGGGGTTCCAATCAATATATCCGATATTATCGTATGCTAAATTTCCTATTAAAAGCCAGAATTCACTACAACAATCCAGACTATGGCACACGCTCCATATTTTCATAACTTCATGTAGCCATAATTCATGACTGATGGAATGATGCTCAACACTGACTTGTGTAGGTAAAAATGTTACAAATGCTTTTATAACGTATTGCAAAGTCTCCGACTTTAAAAAATATAATCTTGGTCGCAGTTCATTCAATATTTCTTTAGTTGCTGTTAGCTAAAATAAATTGATTCCAGTTGTCAACTATATGTTTTGAATTTTATCAATAAATTATTTTAAATTGATAACATTTGTACTTACTGGAAAATATCGTTTGGCTACTTTAACAAAGTATGAAAAATCTTGCTTCAGCTCTTCTGGAACTGTTCTAAACATTCTTTTTTCTTCTAATTCCGGATCATAAATTAATTCATACAATTTATATAAAGGTTTCCACTCTAATTTTAATTCATCAGGAGAAATAAATGATTTTTTTCTATAATTTATTTAAAATAATTAGAAATAAAATCAATCATCTTAAGTTTCATAATAAATTGATGACTTACCTGAGAAGAGCATATAATAGCATACCAAATCTATGAACATTATAATATTGAAGTTCAGGAATCAACATTAGTTCATATGTTAATTTTACCAAATTTATGTGGTCAATTTTTTCAAATTTATAGCCATAAAGTAGCACATATCTGTAACAAATAGTAATTTATTAATAAAACATTTTATGCTGCCTTAAATATCAAAAACTAATTGATTATTACTTTAGTAATGCTTGAGACCAGTAAATACAACCAGGATAAATATCCTGAAGTAATGCACATCTTCCCATGTTAGCTTTGATATTAGCAAAAATGTCACTGGCAACATTGTCTAGTTCTTGAGAAAAGGGTAGATGTTTGTTGGCAATAATCCTTGATTCATAATCAAAAAACTCTTCCAATTGTGGATTATCATCAAAGTGATAGTCCATCGCAAGAATCTTTTTGAATTGTGTCAAAAGATTTACACTTGAGTTGCTAAGAACACTTTGAATAAGGGCGTTCATTTTGAAATATTTAAAAAACTGAATTAATAAATTGATAAAAGTTGTTATTCAATGATGATAATATTTTGGACAATTGATTCTGAATGACTTGCTGTAACTAGTTAAGAATGACGACTGGAAATTATATGTGATATGCACGGTTTGCAACATTAGTGCAGAATGAGGCTTATCAGAAAGTAGCCTCTATCTATAGCTATATAGTAAAATTCATTTAATTTTTATCGAGTCATGGTGTATCAGGTGTTGGCAGACCGCAAGAGTTTGACGACTGCATACTGTAGAGTCTGCAACCGAAAGCGCATCTAAGTATACGTGGGTCATAACCTGTACACCTGTGTTTACGTTGCAACGAAAAATCGGCAACGGAGTTCGTTACCAGCGATGAGAAATAAAAATGAAAAATGTCAATTATTTTCATGTTTTGTTGCAAATACTATAATAAAAAAATCGATGATTTCTTGTTTCCTTCGAGGTAGATTATAGCGATATGCCATTGTTTGCGACTTGAAACTTCACTCTGGGATAAATCGTCACTCGCCGGCTCTTTTTATTTTATAAGCTTCGTACCGCGTTTCGGCAATGTATGTGATGTGAGTCCTAACTTGCAGTTTTAAATATAAATGACAATGTAATTAAGCATTTATCCATGATCGAAAAAGCACCCACTTTTAATTTGAACTCACTATGAATTGCGGAAATGTTGCTTGATGAGTTAAGATCAATATATATTATGCGATTTCCATTACTATAGTAGTAATTATAATACGTTGAAATACTCAATGAGTTTTTAAAATTCAAGCAAGTGTGATTTTAATGTTATTTCACACAGTAAATTGAAAATAACTCATCAATTAAATACTTTCGTAAAAATTAAAAACAAACCAATTATCTATACATACAAAAATGAGCGTATCCGCCAGTGTTAGAGGAACAAACAAAGTCCAGGTACGACTGATTTATCAGTGAAGATACATCTTTCCAATTCATGTAAACAATGGAACGTATTATGAAACTATTTACACGACTAATTATGTTCTATTTGAAAATGTTCAAAGAATTATCGGAACTAATTTGAATTGATGAATATTTAATTATTATGGTATTATTTAATGGTTGAAATATTTTCTTTTGTCTGTAAAAAATATTATCACCAGGGCTTTTAATTAGCAACAAAATCTCACTTTTACCACTTATTTTAAAGGACTTATGAAAAATATTATTTCGTTGCAGGTTTGTTTTAAGGATGGATTTTCATTTAAAACTTGTTGAAATTTTTATTTTTTATTAGTTTTACTTACTGACATTGTTTGTATTTCAGTCAATAAAACATCATATAAACAAAACAATCCAGTTAACGTGAAGTTTTATTGATTAGTATTGTAAGTAATTGTTTACAAAAATACAAGATTAAGGGTTGCATTATTACATCCTTCTAAGTTTACTTAAGTTTACTAAGTTTATTTTCAGTAAAAATGCAATGGAGCGATGTACAACTATTTTTATTTCTGAAAGTTAAACCTTTGGACGACACTATTTGTATTCTGCGAGCAAAAATCAAATTGTTCAGTACTCACTTCATTTTTTCTCAAAAAACTGCCGCAAGTAAAACTGAGGTAAATTTTTATTATGCTCTATTTAATTTTCTTTACACTTTGTTATCGGTAAAGTTTTTAATCAGAATGATAAAAAAAGGCTTGTCCAAATTGTTACTTTCATATAGAAACCAAACAAGTGTCGACAATTTTGAAATAAGATGGTCATAATTTTAAAAATCCCAATCTGCCGTAAGTTGATCAGGTCCACAGTAGATGGCAATGAAGGTACGACTTCTTGAAAATGTCGGTATCTGAGAAATCTGTTTTGAGCGCGCAATAATGCCGAGCCAACGTATAGAGTCGACAACGCTTCCGTATTCCAGTCTTATTTCGACAAAATTAAATTTATTCAAAGCTTGATTCATTGTAATTATTTCGATCGTAAAATCAAAGTTGGACAGATTTATGCATATCAAAGGCAGTTGATGGTTCTTGAAATTTTCGAGTAGGTCGTATATAAGAGTGAATATATCGTGGCAATAGATTTAAAGAGATTGAAACAGAAAGTCGCGCGAGTGGCGTGGCGACATTCATACGAGATACTGAAAGCATGTATGAGTAGTATTTTCTCTAATTACTTATTCCAATTGTCAGAGACCGGTATTATAGCCTCGCCCGTGTAAAATATACGAGTTGATACGGCCCAGATAATGCGTTGCTGGTAAAATTTAATGGTTTTCGAGTTTAAGAAACTCGGCTGATTAGAAGTGAAATTGCGTTAGGATCAGAGGTCAAAGCTGTTATAAGCGTAAATTATTCTGCTCGCGGCGTCCGATACGGGGCACTATTTGAAAATTAACTTTTTAGCGCAATCAGTTTAAATAACGCGTTTTATTCGAGTAAGTATATCCAGTTTTACGAGCGAGCACGTTTACAAAGTTTCAAAGCGGTTGGCCACAGGACCAAAGAAAGCGTATAGTCATTGGATCGAAAAGCCAGCTAGAAAAATTGCTCTCGCAAAAAAAGCGATCGCGTAGATTTTAATTTAAACATTTTTCAATGCATAGGCCGAGTTCTTCTCGAAGAGAATGCCACTGGAAAAGGTAGCGGAGCCGAAGAGCTTCAGTCATCAAGGGTTCGAGAGTATCTTTATTGTTGTGCAATGTTGTACATATAGGCATAAGTATGAAGTATTAAGATGGGCTTGATCGAAAGCTCGAGCCGTTGGATTGCTCTCGATAAAGGTATTGTAAAAAGGGAAAGTACATATACATCGGACCGTCGGAGGCAGGGGGGGGTGCGCAC